AGTATGCTACCGCAAGAAAAAAAAAAAAAGAGCCAGATGAGGGTCGCTCTTCCCGCAATGGTAATATGTGCTCTGAACTGCGCTTAAAATTGTGCAAGAATAGTTTGGCTCATATATTGCAGTTATGTTTTTTTTTATAATACTGCCTCTTTTTCTAAATTCTGCCCAGTACTTCAGTGATGATGTGTTAAAGGCAAACGGTATATTAGCTGCGCTAGAAGCATGCGACTATCGTCTAGAATAGCTGATTTCGATTATGCGTACTTATATCTTTGTACACATGTTTTTGTCATAGGTGCTCATGCACTCACTGCTGGCAAATGGGGAAAAGGGAGGAGTGCTGCTGCCGCCTCGAAATTTGGCAGATTTGTGACGGCCATAGTGCGCTTCATCTTGTAGGTTTGAAGCATTTTCTTTTAACTGCAGCGGCCCATTTAGCAGCCATCTTCTGATCCCGAGGAAACTTGTGAAAAGCGACCTAATTGCAACCGTAAGTGCTGCGACAGCCATATGCCACGCAGTAACTCGGCATCGCAAGTCCACTTCAACCTTGCACAAACAGAACTAGTGAATGTCGGATGGCGAAAATTTCTAATCAGAAGAAGAGAATGGTGCAATGGCGTGAAATCCCTTCGAACTGGCAGAACTGATGCTTCACCAGGCTGCAGATTGCAGCATAAACAAGGCACAACTGCGAGCTTCACCAGGCTGCAGATTGCAGCATAAACAAGGCACAACTGCGAAGTAAACAAGCTGAGATGACTGAGCGACGCTAGCGGCCTGGCGCAAAGTTGCCCGCCAGGCGGCGGCTCGATTCTGACGGTGACGTCACCTCCCCACGTGTCTATCTCTCCTGTGCTCCACCCCTGCGCGAGCTCGTGCCAGGGGGGGGGGGGGGGGCGTTCTTTTGGTCAAAGTTTGCTCACTTATGCCGCCGTTATTTAATCGACCCTCGCAAAAAAAAACCTCCATAGACATGTTTTAAAAGGTCGCGAATCCAAAACCTCTTCAGTGTCCCTTCAAGTCCTCGTGAAATAAACTTTTCTTCATTTTTTGTATAAGTATTTCTTGGCATATTTAGTGCCATACTTTCAAGTCAATTTGTGTTATAACAAGCTACCATGTAAAGTTATGTTTTGCATTAAAAGGCCATGCCAAAAAAAGTTCCACAATACCTTCTTTTTGTTTGAGATGTGGAGTGCATATTTTTGTTTAGCCATTTCAGCATCTGCCCTTATTTTTGTTATAGCAGTATTAACTTTCACCTTTGCTTTTGACTTTACTATACTTCAACTTTAATGTTATTATTTCATTGTTGTTTCACAATCACATCATTTTCATAATATTTCACTTATGGGACTGGGGTCGGGCCATACTGTAGAAAAAAAAAGGAACATGAAAAGATTAGCTAATGACAATATTGTTACGGCAGTGTTAGAGTTACTTGATTCAGACAGCAGGCCTGATGTGTAATTTCTAAAGAAAACATTTAAAGGTAATAGTAATTGCCTCTTAATATTTTATCTTGTGGTATTCAAAGGTATGGATAATAAGCTGGATCAGTTGTGCTATCTTCAAATGTCAAATTTTCATAGCTAATTTTGTGGTATGCATTTCTTGCTGTAAAACTTGCCACTCATATGTTTTTATATTGGCTTGTATTGGGATTCAAATGCCTTCTCTAAATTTTTAGTGTCTGTTTGTGAAAGTTAACTTCAACACACATTCTTCTGTGTGCAAAAATTTTGGTATTCTTTGCTTACACCTGGTTTTTGTGCCAATAAAAAATATGCAACTATTTGACCATGTGTTTAAAATTGAAGCTCCTACTTAGCCACTTTCATTCAAGCACATTTTGAATAGGTAGTTCTGTTTTTGATTTTACAATGCAGCTGAATATTTGTTTCTTTTCTACGTTGTGTTATACTCACACATCGCTTTTTTTATTTGTTGATGGTTTTACAGCATCCAAGAAGCAAAAGAAACGTGGCAAGAAGCGCTCTAAAAACTAGTGAATCCATTTCAGAGTGAAAAAAGACAGCAAACAGTCATAAAATAAGCGCATCAACAATTACATCACTCATTGTCTCAACCTGCGAAGGAACATTTCTCTTCAGTATCTTTGTTTCATCACCTTTTTTCAATCTGCACCATTTGCACCATTTATACTGCACTGCTTTATGCTACTGCCACTTTAAATAAATAAGCACAGCAGCAGCTTATCACTTGCTAACGAGTATGGCAGCAAACACAATTGATAATGAGCAGTGTGAGGCTCCACCAGATAGTAAAGAGACATCTGGAAATTTTCTAGTGACAGTACACGAAGTACCCGATGGACAACCCAATGAAGCTGCTCCAAAACCAACTTTTAAACGATTTGAAGATCTTCCTGAAATGGTGGAAATGCTAAGCCCTATTCATCCTGATGATGAGGGTAATAAAACTGACATTGAGAACTTGAGTGATCATGAATCCATGGACACCTTGGACCAGAGAACAATGTTGGTTGATAAGGAAGAAGATTCTGGTGATGAAAATAAGACAGATGTGGAAGACCTAGATATTGTTTCTGTGAGGCGTCAGGTTGTGTCTCGGGATAGTTCTTTTCAAAATAAAGAAGGCAGCAAAAACAAGGCAAAGCGATTTATTGAAGAGGTACAGCTGGATAATTTGGAACATAAAAAAATTTCAGGCGAGAGCAAATGGCTTCGAAATGACAGCAATCACATTGTCCAGAAGCCATCACACAGTAGGCAGAGATCACATTCACAGCCCTGCTCTTTGTCATCTCCGGGACCAGTTGAACCTTGCCCGTCACCCCGATCAGCATCTTCAGAAAGTGAATTTGCTAATTTGTCAGCTCATGTTCGTGCTGTGCTTGGGGAGCTGGATGTTCGGTCACAAAAGTGTAAATGCTCCAGTGAAGTAAAAAGAAGCAAGCTTCGATGTCCAAGCTCTAGCTTGCCCTATCGTCTGACAAACCGTAATGATCAGGAACGATTGTTGAAGAAGTTCTTCGTTGAAGAAGATGTAGGCTCTTTGACAGATGAAGGGGAGTTTGTTATCATGCCTGAGCCACGGAGCCCTACATGCCGGCTGACCACAGGTCTTGAAGAACTTGATGTGAGCTCTGAAGGAACAGATGTTGAAGACTTGGCTGCGGAGCCCCACAACGCCATTGGCAGTGGAGGAGGTCAGCTGCCACTTTGCTCCTTTTAAACTCTGCCCACATTCTTGCTTTCCTGCTTCACTCACTTGCTCGTGTTTGCCTAACAGACTGAGAGTAAACTTCTGTGCTTCTGAGGCCAAACCACTTCCAATGTGAATTTGTAACACAAATTTCCTGCCTTGTCACTCATGGGTTGGCATTGGTATTTCTTACCTTGAACTTCGTCTGTGCACCATGGTTGTGTGTCTTTTCCTCCTCACTCTTTACTAATGCAAAATTGTACGCGTGTTTCACTGAAAAATAATTTCACTGAGGCAACAATAGGGGTCAGTCATTGTGTGTCCAAAGCATGGAAATATTGTACGATTATGAAAAATGTTCTGTTGTTAATTGAGGTAACCTTATGAATATCATATCTAAATATTTTTATAGTAATCATGTCACACCAGCTTTAATAGTACTTCCTTGTTAAGAAGGCATTGATAGTTATATTCTGCAAGCATTTTAATGCTACCTGGAGGTGTCGAAAAAAGGCTTTAACAAACAAGCTTAGAGCAACTGTTAAGCAGTTGTTTGCTCCTACACATGTAATCTATAAGGATACATTTACTTTTCTTTAGTTTTTTTTCTGTTTTTTATTTCAGCTGTTTTTTATGCAACCTTAAATCTATCTATTTACCTTGTACCTATTGAGTAATCTGGAAATTTATAATGATTCTAGATACAGAGACATTAAGTGCCTTCTGGAAAGTATACTATCCTCAAGCAAGCAGTTTGTTGATAGCTTTGTTTATGTGCTCTCTAATCTTTATAAAACATGTGTTGCCATCTGGAATGATGCACTTGGTAAGCACTTTTCTGCTTTGCTCAAATAGTGTGTGTAATTGTTCAGTTTCTTAATGCGCACGTAGAAGACGAGCAGAAACATGAACCGAGTTTTATTTGGGGCTGTACTCCAAGTATGTACACTTCATCATTATTGCCTGTGCATATATATGTCATGTCTAGAGTGATAAAAAATATTCACAGCATAATAATCATATAAAAAAAGGTAAAAATAGCGGTAAGTCAAAAACAAGTCATCTATAGAATAGGTGGTAGTTCATAAATGCAAGTATTTCCTTTCGCTTCAATGTTTATGCTTTGCCACAATTGCCCTTCAGCAGCTTCTTTGCTTGTGTGTGTGCTCTCTTCATGCTTCCATCCTTTCCTTATTTGCATGTTATATGTTTTCTTTTGCTAGTATTTGTGTAAACAGTTTTAAGTGAGCCTGCAGCTAACAAGCATTGTTGATATATAAATTGTCTTGAAATATTGGCTCTACAGCCTTGCCTTCACCTGCATGTTTTATTAATGGGCTGTAATAAGTTGCGAGTTGCAAGCAGCTTGTGTTAGATGGCTATATTCATGTTTTATATTGCTGTTGAATACACGCATTGAGAACTGTTGTACTAACACCGTGTATCTTATTTCAATGCAGAGGAGACAGTATTCAAAAGTATTATTCTAGCAATGTTATGCTGATGCTACTGCTAGTTTAATGTTGATCACTTATTTATTTTTAATTTACAAGGGGAGCTCAAAGACAATTGGTTGGTTGCTAATTGTGGATAAGAAAGCTAGTATGCTGTCACAACTCTTTACAGGTCTAAGTATATTCTTACAATTTTATGAAGGAAAGGTGGCTTTCTTGACTTTTGTACAAGTGGCACAAAAATAAAGATGCCTTCTTGGTGACAGAACATTAGCATATGGCTTGTGATAATGTTTTGCATGATGCCGTGCCATAGCATTTCAAGGAGCTAAGCCTGTTTGCATTGTTGTTCAGAATGGACTGAAACTGACCCAGATTCAGGAGAAGTGCGCCACATTATTAGCAAGACAACACACACTACAGTGACATCAGTGAAACCGGGAGAAGGTAAGTTGCTCTTTGAATGGTTTTAAATTGTTTTTTTTTTGTCTTCTCGTGATATGCATTTTTTTTCACAATATAATTACAAAGATATGTAGATTCATTTCAATTATATAGTATGAAATTAACATAAGCACTTGCTTAATCATGCCTATCTAGAAAAACTTGTTTTGAAATTTCATTATTATATACTATGAGTGGAACCTCAGAAGTGTTCGGGCTGTGGATGACACAAAGTTTCATTCGTTAGAAATATATGGCCTCTTCTTTTTTATCTTGTGCGTTTAGTCTCCTGTATGCTGAAGGTTACATATATTTTTAGGATCTTATTTTAATAAGTGTGGCAAGCTTTAAGAAGCTCTGTCTTGTATTTTTCTTATCATTATGAGCTTTGAAAGTTTTTTTTAAATTTTTATTTCTTTGGCTCACATGAAGTTAATTCTTTCTGTAAAACAAAAATCTTGTGGTTCCACTGTAGGCAATCGCTCACTTTTAGCTAAACAATTTAATTCATAAGCACTTAACTTTGTCAATTTATTTAGAATGATTACTGATTTGAGATAATTTATTGTATTTGCATATGTGAAAACTAGTGTATTTACCTGTTAAAGTTGTGCCTATATTGTCATCTTTCTCTGCAGTGTTCTTTTTTTTTCCAATTCTCAATGTTTTGAGTAATAACCATTTTTCAGTTTCACATTATTATTTTATGCAGACATTTAAGAGGCTCATCTTTTATTATGTGCCAAACAGACATCATTTACGTGTTAATGTTATATTTTGGCCTTGATAATTGTACTTATATTGTTCTAACACTATCTGTCTTTCCAAGGTCTTTTATTGCAGTATTATGCTTTGTTGAGCATGGCTTTTTTAAGGAGCCATTTTGGTGTTTGCCTTCGAAAAGTCTTTTTTTTAACTTTTGTTTTCTGCTTTTTATTGTAACATTATGATGTAGCACACACAGATGCTATGTCATTACAAAGTATGAACACCTCCTCTCTTATCGACATCATCTTAGTGAGCTTTTACCACATTGCATCTTGTCAGGAAAAAAAAACTTTAGTTCAGTTTTTTTTAAAATTGCTATTTTTGTGGCACTATACTTATGTGGCAAATTCTGCTAGTTTACCTGCATTTCTGTGAAGCATGCATATTACTAATATAGTACATTCAGGATCTCTCACTCCAATTAGCTTGCTGTGCAGTCTGGATGTCAACAAAAATCAACTTATTAGTATAATCTCCAATGCTGCAACCAATGTTGCAGTTAGTGATGTGGTAAAATATTGAGCAGCAAACTTCCGTGATGAGTTATAATTGGGCTTCCGACTATTTGGTTAAGTTGAAAAGCTCATGCTAATTAAGTTTTTCAATTAATAGAAAATTGAAAACATTGAATTGAGGATATTTTTAGCATGAAAAATTTTCGTTAAGTGGTTATTTACTACATAACCACTTAGACCATAATGTATGTTCGCCCCGCCACGGTGATCTAGTGGTTAAGGTACTCGGCTGCTGACCCGCAGGTCGCGGGATCAACTCCCAGCTGTGGCGGCTGCATTTCTGATGGAGCCGGAAATGTTGTAGGCCCTTGTACTCAGATTTGGGTGCACGTTAAAGAACCCCAGGTGGTCAAAATTTCCGGAGCCCTTCACTACGGCGTCTCTCATAATCATATGGTGGTTTTGGGACCTTAAACCCCACAAATAAATTATCAATCAATCAACCATAATGTATGCTCACTCATAAAAAGTAGTTCAGAAGCCCTTTGCTTTGTAAACTGTATTGTTTCAGTGCAAAATGTGTGTGTGTTCGCGGGTGCATTAAATGTGCAGGCTACCTAAATATCGTTGCACTGGCTAGATTTAATAGAGTCCATGTCCTGCCACATCATCAAGGGTGCATTCTTGTTAGGCTTAGCTAAACATTTACGTATATTTGCCACGAGTTGATAGCCTATTTAGTTTGGCATAATAAGACAGCTGTGCAGGAACGACAACTGGCACACTTGCCAGAAGAAGGAGTTTCAGGATGACTAGAAAAAAAAAGTTGTTTTGTACCAAACCTTCATTGTCTTTCGTCTAAAATTTGAAGAATATATGGCTGTTGGGCTGCAATGTATGTCATTTTTTCCACACCAAGTGTCTTACTAAGCTTATGCTGGCAAGTTAATGTTGGTGCTAACGTTTACACTGTGCGATATTATATGTGCATTGTGAAAATGCTTATTTGATTCCACTATTCTATAAAAACAATGTAGAACATAGGATAATAAACTACTGTGTTAATGAAGGGATCAGGGAACTTTAAAGATGATTTGATTGACTAATTTGTGGGGTATAACATCCCAAGAGAACCATATGATTATGAGAGACACCGTAGTGGTGGGCTCTGGAAATTTCCACCATCTCGGGGACTTTAAAGATGAGTATGCTGCTTGAGGGCAATCAAACCTTCCGCTATAGGTACTGTGGCTGCATGCCACTGTTTTTAAAAGGTACCATGATCGTAAGCAGAGACCAGGATGAAACAGTTGGCAAAATTTTAGAAGCTGTGAAAATTTTAAGGTTAAAATACAAATGTACCTGTGTATGAGTGCTTTTTTTCTTGAGCTTTTGCATTAAGGACTGCTTCCTATGATAAAGTTGATAAGGTATTGTAATAAATAATGACAGTCTAGAGATGTTATGGCATATCTTGCTTTGTACTGGTAAGGCTGCTTCTTTTCACGTTTGCCAAAGTGATATTTTGTGCCTAGTACATGTTGGTTCAGCACTTACAGCCTCATATTTATATTCTTGTATTTTTTCCTCTTTCTGCCATTGTCAAAGTCAATTAAATTTAAGGGGCTTAAATTAGAAGTACACATTCAATAGAATTTGTTGAAAACAAGATTATTTGCACGACCATATCACTTCATTCAAAGGTGTGAAAGAACTGTATCTACATTGTTTTTGTATGAAGGGTACCAGTGGTTAGTCTCATATGCCAAGATACAACTGTCTATATTTTCTGGACTCTAACAAGTCAAAGCTTCTTGCATACTCAACAAGGATATCCTAACATACTTGGATTTGAACTATGTAGATTCTCTGGGAGAGCTGCAGAAGTTGTCAAAATTTAAGGATAACTTGATATAGGTGTAGCGAAGGCATGCTACAAGCATGATAATTGCATGTACTAGGCTTTTGTTACCTTTCATGCTTAGTAACGAGGTCTTCAGATTCCTAGAGAAGTTCTACTGATTTTTTTTTAACTGATAGAGAGAACAAATTTTTGTGAATCAGTGGTTGATGGAATGGGAATTATCTTTTAAAAAAATTTGATACACTATATTCAGTAATTGTAAACAAATGCTGTGAAATCGGAAGCCTAATTATAACCTGATATTTGAAATACTTAGCATTTTGAAGCAAACTTGCTGCCGATTCAGCTACATGCTTTTTTTATATTTTTTACCAGTGTTGTAGAGTGTATGTGCATGCATTTCAATTTATTGTCATTCTTTTATTTCATTGTTTGTGTAAGGAATGTTTTTGGTGCATTTGCCATTGCCCCTTGATGCACGGTCAAATATTTTTATGCTGCCTTCTGCTTTTTATTCTTGTTTGTACAAGCTTGTGAATTTTTGGTTTATGTGAAATCATGCTTTTCCTGGCTGGCAGTGTTTGAGAATTCGTCCTAAATAATGTTAGCTTTTTCATTGGCATACTTTATTATTTTTTAACATAGAGCAGGTAACCAGTGTGTTTGTTTATGTGGTAAGCAACTTCCTCTTGTGTCCTTCTCCTTGTTGACTGTGCTTGCATATTTTCTTCTGCAAATCTGTGTAGCTATAAAAAAAATTCATTAAATGCTTGTTCTAAGTAGGGAATTCCACACACTTCATCATCAGCCAGTCATTTTCTGTTGAATGATTGTTCTCAGAGTATGAATTTAAACCCGCAAAGTATGTCAGCAGGAATGTTTGTACAACTATCTTGAGCATGAATGTGTGAAGTTTTGTGTGATGTGAATATGTGTGTTTAGCTGCGCTAAGTAGCCTATCCTGTATGCAGCAATTTTCAAGATGTGAAGATTCTTCGCATTTTCATTTGCCATTGTAAAGGATCCTAAGTGTCATACTGATTGTGGCTGAATGTACCTCATTGTCATAAAATTTCATTCTAGGGGAAACCTAAAGTCTAAGTCACTGCTTTTTGATGCATAATTTTTATGCGAGAACATTATAATAAAAGTAATGTTATGGATGTGACTTATGCACCTGTTATGATATATAAAGCAGTCAGTCAGTTTCGAATGTAGTGTTATGACAATTAGATTTTATGAATGTAAAAAGTTACAACTTTCTTCAATGACAAAAGTTGCCATATAAAATCATTGGTATTAGCTTAGAATTGTCAAGGTAAAAAGCTCGCCCAGGCTGTGCATCTCTCATGCTTGTCTAATTTTTTTTCATGAAGGCTGCATGAATGTGTGCTTGCATTGCACCAGCAGTTTAGCATTTTATTAGGGTAATATTTTTCTTATGATTTTTGTTTCAAACACAATTTACAATCGATTGAATGAAGACAAGTGATTTTCATTGTCACCCATAGCTGCACAAGTAAGATGAAATTTGTGAGCTGTGAGAGGAGTGCAGGGCACAGCTGATTTACTACAGTTTCTTGAACATATAGTGTACATATTTTACTTTCCATAATTGCAATTGTTGGTTATTACTCACTTTTCTTTAAAAAAAGACCAACTGCACCATGCATTGTCTTTAGCTTGCTATGTTACAGGATTTAGCTTTGTCCTTATGGTAAGAAGGCAGTATTGTAGAGTGATTAGTTGTGTTTTATTATTTACTCATGCTCATCAGCATCACGTGATCTTCAAGAAGGAGACCAAGAGCAGCAGTTTTTTAGCAGAGCAATATGCCGCTTAGTTGTTCCTCCCCCTTCTTCCCTTCCACCCGAATACGACAGGTGCACCTAGGGGCGACACCATGTCTACCAGCGTAACTCGGTCATCTAAAGGCGGCCGTGGTGACTCAGCAGCCAGCGCGCCTTCAAGTCATGATGAAGCAGAGTCTCTCACATTCTGCCAGAAGAAAGAGTTTTTCGAGAAGCTATCTGAACAGTCACCACTGCAGGAAACTCTTAGTTCAAGATTGGGGAGCACACCCTCTTTGGACACGGCACTGACACGACCTGTCGTGACTGTCAAGCCACGACCTCGCTCAGAGAGCCTTACTTCACAGGGAGAAATTATTGAAGAAAACATAGTTTTTGCTGAACGGTTAAGACTATTTCAAAATGGGGCCCAGGCAAGCTCATCGTCAGGTGCCAACCTGCCCCATCTTGACCTAATGGATCAAAGACGTCAGAGTAGAGATGAAAGGCTGCAAGGTTTACCAGAAATGACTGATTCATTGCAGCAGCAATCTTCTGAAGTGTTCACAGGCCAGCAGGATACTGATGGAAAGAGTGACACAAGATTGCTTGTGCACACAAGTGATGCTGATAAGGAGGCCTTTGATGTGTGTTCTGTGCAATCATCTGAAGACACTGGTGATCAGCAGTTCTCTCGAATGAGAGTTCGAATGCCAGCTACTGAAGAATTTGTTAGTAAAGCACCCAAATCTAGCTGTGGTCTACGTGGAGAGAAACCTTCACCTCTGCGTGATGCTTACAAAGAATCCTTAACATCTCAACAAGAAGGTAGCCATATCGGTAAGCCTTCTCAACTTGCTGCTTTAAGCGATGATTCTGTGTGCCTGGTGCATGAAGCTACTAAAGATTTAACTTATTCAAAAACTGATCCTCCTAACCAGACTAACAAAGATTTAACTGTATCTGGAAGGCAACTTTTCACAGAACAGAAAACTTCTTTACTTAGTTCACAGTCACACATGCTTGCTTCAGGTCTTCAAATGGGTGTTGTGGCTGGATCAGGAATATTGCAAAAGGGCATTGAAGCAAGCTCCCAAAGTGCAATATTTGAGACATTAAGCTCATCACCCACTGAACTGAGAGGTTTAGATTCACAGGCAATGAGTGAAATTCCTACAAATCAAGGTCTTACAAGGGCTATGGAACAGGTTAGGGGAAAAGACATGGGAGATGTTGGTGCAGTTGTAGCTGCAGCACCCATTGCAGTTCTGCCAGCTGGTGACTTCATCTCTGGGAAGCAGATTGAAATGCTTGATATGTCTCATGTTACTGAGGAGTCAAGCCTATTTGAAATGTGTGCTGATTTGCCAGATCAAGTTGGAATATCACAGCCATCTACAAAGGAAAAAACCATGATGAAAACAGAATATGCTGACATACAGCACAAGCTCTCATCAGCATTTGGAGAAAGCCGTGCTGTGGTAGATACTAAAGGTAGCGCCACTCAAGATGTTCCAAAAGAAGTGCTTGCAGCATTTGATAGATCTAATGAAGAGGTCATGGTCATGAAGTCAGACAAGTACTGTGAACATGGTGCACATATTTCGGACATACCACAAGGCTCGTTGCCACACGACTTTATTCCTGTAAAAAATGAAAGCATGCTTTGTGAGGAAACAGCAGAGCATTTTGCGCCAGATACAGCCAGAGAAACCAGCATTTCATTGGACTCTACCCATGTTCATCTCACTACAAAGGAGCTAAAAACTTGTGCTAGCAAAGAATTTGTTGAAGAACAAGAAAGTGAAGAAAAGCTTGAAAGCTTAGTTGCTCTAAGCTCTCACCAAGCCAGCAAGTTGGAAGAAAAAAATGATGACAGCTATGAAAAAAGTGTCAAAGAATTCGTTGCTGTTTTGGAAGATCAAGAAACATTTCCTGTTGGTGAATTGTCAGAGTTGAAACCTACAGTTACAGCCTATGAGCCTCATTTTTATGCTTCAGAGATTGACTCCAAATGTGTACTTGATAAAAACAAGAAAGAAGATGAGGCTGGTAGCAGTATCCAAGATGTTTCTGAGATTTCTGAGCATCATAGTGATGATTCTTATTCTATTGTAATTGACAAAAAGTCAGGTGTATTTATTGGCAGTCAAGACACAACAGAGGAGCTTAAAACTGTGTTGAGAGATCCTGATTGTGAGGAGAGCTCAAAAGTTGTCTCTGAGCCTTTTTTTGGAGTGAAAAAAGAGATGTGTCTTGGCAGCTTAGATCTTCACATCGAGCCTTGTACCCAGCTAGGAACAGTATCACCAAAACAGCCATGTGAAGAGCATAGTTCTGACATTACAGTAAGCAGTAAAGGTGAGCATTCTTTGATTGTTGAAGATGTGAGCATTTCTCCAAAAATCAATGCAATAGACACACAAATTTCTTCCCAAAGTGCTGCCACTAAATATGAAGAATTTCCAGAACAAGCTTCAGAAATAACCACTGATATGCCTTCTGAGGCTGTTGACAGTAATAATTTGTACCAGGATAAAGTGCACTTTCAAGCAATTACTGCTCATCATGAAAATACCAGTGAAATTCCATATTCTTCTGACGAGGACCAACAGAAGGAACTTTCCAGATATAAAGAAGTAGAGTTGTCAATACCTTTTTTACGTGGGGGCTCATCATCCTTAGAAGACGAAGCTGAAGATGGGGGCAGTTTTTCAAGTGCTGACCTACAAGCTGAGAAGATTGCAGAATTTTTAACCATGGACCCTAGTACAGTTAGCAAGGCAATACATTTTCCTCAGATTTTTCAGGATCATGATATACCTGCACAAAAAGGTCCTGCTGCTTCAGCTGACACTATGACAAATGTGGAAAAACATGTCGACTTTGTTTTGCATGAAAAGACTGTGGAGGCACCTTCTTATGTGCCCTTACAGTCAGACAGGCAAGCAGAAATTGAAGAGGCCAGCCGCATTGTGGAAAGTGTTGTGCATATAGCCAGCACATTTGTGGAGTCGCTTAATGAAGTTGCCCCCGAGGCCAGCCTCAAGGAAGATATACCTGATAGCGGTCCTTCATATGTTGTTGGGAGCCCCCCTGAAAGGTCGGAAGTCAGTGAGACCTTGTCACATGGAGGCACCCCATCAGCCATAGAGAAAGACCACAAGGAGAGCCTTTTTGGAGTCAAAGAAATGTATGAAGTGTTGAAGGAAAGCCGTGTAGAAGATCGAATTCATTACTCTGTCACTAGCCTGGGAGATCCTTTCATTGCTGATGAGGCAGATGAGGACCAAGAGCGGAGAAGACGTGGCTCACCAACAGCCGAGTCCTTGGATGATCAGGCACAAATTGAAAAATGCAGTCGTGAAGTCATGATGCAATTATTGGACGGGTTTTCACAGAGCGATGTGGAGCTCGCTGAAGTGCGAACTGAAGACGAAGCGCCGGACATAGAAGATGACGTCCCCTCACCTGAGGCTGGCTCGCAAGAGGAGAAATCTGTGCCTTCGTCACAGGACAACAGCGGAGACCTCCAACCGCAATTGTCTACAGAAGTGGAAATCGGCAGTCAGGCAAGTGGTGCACTAGCTCCACTCTCCGAGCTTGATTACGAGCTGTGCCCAGATGTGGACCAGTTGCGCACCTCTGGGGATGAAGCTGTGTTGGCCAGGGTACCGCCGCTGGATCCAGGTACTTTGGTCGTCTCCTTTATTTTTTCCCCCTGCAGTCGCCTGCACGCTGTGCATCTTGGGAACGCCTGTTCTTGGTTACATATCTTTTTGTTGGAGGATTCGCCGGACTTGCTCAGTCACCTCATCATCATTGGTGCTTGGCCAGAACCGTTTCATTTTATTTCACTTGCAGTATGCAGGCCCACAGCTGCATGACCGGCACTAGAATAGACACTTTTCTTGTGTCATGTAGTCAACTTATTTGGCTCCAGGTTAACAATCAAAATAAAGTGAAAATAAACATGTTCTCTATGGCTTTAGAGTCATTCAGATATTAACATCTGTTTTGATGTGAGAAACCTAATACTTGACTGGGGATGGGCTAACACGAGAAAGGGTCTATTCTGTCTTCCACCACAACTATTTTTTTTCCTTGGTTTACAGAATGAATTTTTGCATCTTGCCTTCCACTAAAACATCTTTATTTTGTAAATGATTTGATTTATGTTCATATGATTTCTCAGTTTGCATGACACTCAGTTTCACAAAGGTTTTGACAGAAAGCCTGATGAATTGTGCGCATGATGCTGAAGTAAAAAATGACAAATGGTGACTGTAATGTATTGTGTTTGTACTAGTGGGATGAGCTGCTTGTTTTGTGACGTGACAAAAATAATGTGGAGTCAGAATTGGGATGAAAAATGCAATGTCAGTGATAAACATTTTGTTTAATTTTTTGCAAGTATTTTTCTTTATGGCACTGTGCCTTAACCAGGTCAGCAATGTTATATTTTGGTGCACTTTCAAATATGATTCAGGTACTACTACTTCTGTAAAATGGCAGTAAATTGTAATGTTGGTTTCAAACCATCCCATTTCTTATCAGCTAGTATTATGGGCTGGTAGATTATTTTGGGATTCATGACAACACAGAACAGCATGACTGAACAGGGACGTACAAGATTTCTATTTTTTTCCATGCCCATGTGGTGGCCTTGCGCCATGTCCTAAAATTTAATCTGAAGGGGCCTTGTAAAAATATTTGAATATAGTTAGAAAAAACCTACCAAATAACTATGTTTAGTGACAACCTTGGTAAGAAATACACTGCTGTCAAACACTGATGACATTCTGTATGGTAGAGCCAACTAATTGTGTTTACTCATTTTATTTGTCAGTGTGAAGGTGTGCCTCTTTCAATATTGGCATTTCCCAGAAACTTAGGAATGGTGAAGGCATCAAGTGCACATGTCATACAACTTTGTTGGTAAAGATTATATATAATTCTTTGGTGGTTAGTGAGTATAGGCTATTGTCCTGTGAATGCCTGAGCCATGCAAATAAATACATTAATGTAATTGCTTAACGGAGCCTTCAGTTTGATTTTAAAAATACTGTACATTTATCTTTGCTTCACATATTTCTAGAACGTTTTCTCGTATATTGTTATGCAACATATTGTCACATTGTTGTGATGGTCAAAAACTAAGCAGCCTGACCTTCAGTAGAAAATTAAACTTTTTATTTATCAGTAAATGTAGGCATTAGTCATTGAAAATTTAACCTATGGGTTGAATGCATTGGCTACATTTATACGAGAGTCATGGTGCCAACACCCATACTTGATTTCTTTTTTTGTTATGGCTGTTCCAGCGTAATCGCTGGTGTTCAATGGTGTTTCAGAATTTTTATCACTATTTACTGTGTGAATGAAAGTTCATTGCTGAAAACACTATTTTGTTATAGCATTTGCTATTACATTCGAGAATGTTTTGATTCATAAAGGTTCATCTTGCAGCAGGCAATGACGCTCCCTTTTTAGCTGGTGTTAAAACTATCACTAGGCAAAGTTGAACAAGTAATCAGGAAAACCAAGGAAGTATGTGTACTAATAAAAATATGATTTACATGATTCTGTAAGGTATAATGATGAGGCAGTTGCTTGAAGATGCAAAAGTCAGATAATCTCAGAGATGAAGTAGCAAGGCCTCTTGCTGGTAAGAAATGATTCCACTGCAACACTACAATGACCACAGTAGTAAATTTAGTATGTTGATGAAAAAGTGAGAATAGCAATGAGTCTGTTATGACAAGATTTGATTGCTGATAGGTTTGTTCTTGTGGGGCTTTTTGTTGAAAAAGATGCATCAGATGACGTCCTTCAGTACCAGACATATTACACTGCCCGTAAGATGTCTTGCAGGGCCTTTTAAAAGCCTCGTTTTACAAGGGAACTGTTTATGCCTGTTGTCAGTGTTGTCAGTTGTAATGTGCGAACAGAAAGCTATCATCATCATCATCCAGCACTCGTTATTTTCGTCCTATCGTTCTTGTTTGTCCTCTTCTTCATCTACTGCTTCGCACCCAGTACACGTGTGCCTATTTATCCTGTGTGAGATGGAATAACTGACCAGTGAGACGAGTACTGAGAGAAAGAAAAAAATATATAGAAAGAAAAATAAATGTATACATTTAAAAAATCTTGACAAGACAGGATTCGAACCCAGGTACCCATGATCCAAAGGTGAGCATAGTAACTTTTTGTCTATCCAGGCTTGCTAGCCAAGCATGACATAGTCTTTTATAGTATAGTATACCAAGGGGGGTAGGAAAGGAAAGAGGAGAGTGAAAAGTAGAAGGGGTAGAGAGTCAAGCATAGCATGGAAAGACAAAGGGAAAAATAGGAAGGGAATAAAAACAAACAGAAAGAGGAAGCTTGAAATAGAGAGAAAGGGAAAGAAAGTTGGATGGAGTGAGAAATGGAAATATATACATAGAGTGATGTCACCTAGAATGTGATTTATCTGTGGTAATAACCGCAAGAGGTCCAGAGAAATGGTTGCCTTAATTCTGGCTAAGTGTCAAGTAGTCTTCGTTAAATGGTAAATTATAAGGGGTGTGCAAATATTAGAATTTTCTGTTACTAACAGAACTGCTTTTACTGTTTGATAAGTGGTCAATTGTGAAGTCTGAATTTGATTGTACTGTGTAGGCCTTACTTTATAGGACATCAGTGTTGCTATGCATGAGCATCAGGACCAGTAGCAGTGCAGTGAACATACCTAAGTGCATGGTTCACATATTGTGCATAATGTTAAGTTCATATAAGTACATAATGTACATGGCAATATTATGCCATTCACAAGTTTTGCTCATCTGCATGAAGTGTTTTATCTTAAACTACCATGCACAAATTTGTGCGGGATAGCAAGATGACCTTTTAGGTGTGACCTCATGCTGCAAAAACTCAGTGTTTCTTTCCAAAGTATATGTTACATTTACACAAAGGACCCCTTGCTTTATTTCGTTTTGTTGATGCTTGGAAGTAAATGCCACTGCCATTTTGCACACCATCATTTGTCACTAGTAGTACTTATCAGCATAGTGCACCAAATATGATGCTGCTACCTTGCATGCATGTTGCTGTCATCCTTGCTTTGTTCCTTTATTTATTACTTGAAGAAAAGAACGGGACATGTATGCTAAAGACTTCTTCAGCGTGTGTGACTTAATAGCTTTTTCATTCAAGTTTTTAAATGTTGCATGCTCGAGCTCTGGCTGTGAGTTTTAGCGTAATGTGGCATGATTTGTATTTGGATTTTTGTCCCAATAAGAGTCTTCTCATTATTCACACCATATGGTCTTGACACTAATATGGTAGTGAATACGTAGCCTTAGTGTACAGTGCTATTCAACAGAAAGGATCTGGAAGTCATAATGTAGAGTAATGCTACCATAAAGAGGTACTAATTTTAGTTGTAAAAAAATTTACATATATTTGGCTGAACAAAATCTTGAAATTAGAAAGAAAAGTATCAGATAATGTATAGCTACTTCTGTTATTGCAAGAGTAAATTTAGAAGTATGCAGTTTGGGACAGATTCACAAGGCTCTTTGTATAAAATTTGGATTTGCACGTGGCGACTTTCTTGGCAGTTGCCCTTTTTTCAGTAGTGTCTGTGTGCTAAGGTTTTATGTATTACATAGAAAGTTGTAATGAAAACTTTGAAGCCAATTTTCAAAATGGAAAAACCATATCACTAGTGTTGGACTGAACTTGACCCCTGAAATCAACCATATTTGATAAGTTAATTGCTGTGCTTTAAGTGGAAGGTTTATACGATATTTCTTTGCCTTGGAAGTCTGGAAAGAACACTTTCAGCTTTGAGTCATGAAGCTGTGAGTCCTGAGCACTTTGTTTCGATGGCTGCAAATAAAATTTGAGAGGAGTTGCTATTGAAATAGGATCAAGATGTGCCATGACTATCATGTCAATATGTATAGACTGGTCAGCACATTTTCGTTGCCCATGTAGAACCAAACCTAAATGCAAAAAGCCTTGTGAATCTGGTGCCTGTTTTTATAATGGTGTAAACTTTCTATCAGAAAACTTCCTTTTGAGAACATATTATTTATGAACGTGTGCGTTATCAGACGAATAAGCATTTACAGTTTTCAGTCTTCAGACAATCCTCTATGATGTATTTGCATCTAAGGTTCTTGGCAGCATCAGCTGAGGACTTTATCTATTAAAGAGTTCCAAGTTCCATCTTACTGTGGTGCTCAGTTGTCATGTAGTTAACTTATGATAGAAGTGGGTCAATAATCTTTATAGTTATGTCAAAAATTTGCGTTCGTTTCATTTATAATTGAGACAGGCTTCAAACAATTTATTTACATAATCTTGTTTGAAAATAGTACTTCTCAAAGGGGGGTATGACATCTTTGTATTGCAGTGTTTTAATTATTTATATGTAATGTATCCATAAATGGGTGTTCAATATAAAATTAATTTGTGCATCAGCTTTTAAACAGTGCAACACTGTTTCATAATACATGTGAAAGCAAAATGGCCATAAATGTAAGCTTCAAAAAGTTGTTTTTTGTGCAAAATGTCGCATTTTTGTGTTGTCAAAGTGTGAAGCGAACACTGCAATTTTAACCCTGCATGTTTTCTGCTTGAGGCAGGATCTAGTTTATTAAAATAGTTGTTCAGCAGTAAAGGTAGACATGATTTTTGTACAAAGCTTTTGACTTATAGTAGGGTAGAACTTCAGAAGGCACCGGCATTTCCTCCTCAAAGACAGATGAATAGGAGCCTGCTCCAATGGGCGCGCACTCTTGACTGACGTCATGACTCAGACGGCCGCTGACTTCGCCGTCGGCGTCATGAGTGGGTCTATTCTTTTTGTCGAGGAGGCAATCAGCAGTCGCCATTCGGTCACCAGAGTGGGCCCTCACCTGCCTTCTTAAGTTATATCCTTCCACAACATTATTAGATGTATCAGATTGCTTCTCTGCACACATTTTTTTGTGTGTGAGGCTAGTGTCAGAATTTTTGGAGGTGGCAATGTAGACGGAAACAAGTTTTGTGTTTTGTGTATGACAGCTCTCAAGTGTAGTTTTCACAAATTATGTACTACAAGGAAGATGGGTGCAAAAAACAGCTTGCTGGGAGAGTGTGGTTAGCCTCTAAGTATGCAAAGTCCATTTTGTCGAGCTCTGAGTCATTATTACAAGATTTGTAACAGTTACAAGATATGACCTTCTCTTAAACGTTAAATATCTACCTCACCACTACAAGCCCAACAGCTGTGCGAGCAGCACATCATTGGTGATGTTGAGTTATTGACATTTGGGAACGTGTAAGTGTTGCGCTTGTCACTTTCAAGTTACTTAAACTCTGTGAATTTCAGCATATGTGCAATTTGTGACAAGATTTTATGTTTTTTCTTTACACTGGTACTTTTACCTTGCTGTGACGTGCTGTAAAGAGATATAGGGAGCGTACTGACCAAGCTTTTTGCACCCTCCCTTCTTTGTGTGTAGCTATTGCTACTAACTGTTAGAATGGCACGGAGGCGCTTATGCACCGCACTTGTTTTACACGTGTGTCGAATTGTGCTTGTAGGATTTTGGCAGCTGCCTTGTTCGCTGAGTGCATGCTGGCGAACGACGAGGACATCGACAGCGTCGTGTGGGGCATTAACTAACCATTTTCATTCCATGGCGTGTTTCTAGAGCGCGACGAAGCAGTGGCCGAGTCGTCCCACACGCCATCGGCGGCTGCCGACCCGGCGACGTCGGCGGGGCGCAGAGCGGGGGGTCGGGAGCGCTCACCACTTCTCGAGGCTTCTCCACCCGAAGAGACCGCCTACTGCCCTGCGCAAGACATATCGCCTGCGCAAGAGTATCCTGAGTATTTGACACCAGATATGCAAGTGCGCGTTGGTGTGTCACCGACTGAGGTACAGCCAGCCAAAGAGAAGCCAGTCAGGTACTCTGAGTCGTCATTGGAGTCGTCATCTGAAGTAGGGTTGCCATGTCCGCCTGGACAAGGAGGAATCGCTATGGCTTTTGAGAATGTCGCTTTTGCCGGTGAAGATATTATCGACGCTACGTCATCGCCAGTTGAAAAGTCATCGAGCCCGACAGGTAGTCGGAGTCCATACGAAGTTGTTCGTGACACACTTACTGAGGAAACAGCAGAAGCTGCACATGTAAAAGAAGAGACCTTGTATCACGTGGGGCAAGAAGTCCACCCTCGTCCGCAGTCGCTGGTGGCTGAGGAATGCAATGAACAAATAGAGCAGCAGATGAAGTCCACCATCTTCAATGAAGCGTTTGATCATTCACCAAAAGAGAGTGCCCCAGAGAAAAAAGAATTGTCAGAGGGGCTTCTTGGTGTTGGTTTTCTCACAGTATCGGGCATGACTGCCCGAACACCTGAATCACGTCGTGGTGACAGTGACGAAGACGAAGAAGAATGGGCGGATCATGTAATGTCGAAGATTCGAGGCCGACCGATACCATCTACTCCTCCGGCCTCTCCACGAGCTGTGCAGAGCGTTGAAGTACATGATGAGCAGGTCACTTGGGAAACACCGGCTGCAGAAAAAAAGGATGTTCACAGAGGTTTAGTCTCTGGCGTGACAGCTAACGAAGAAACTATAGTAAAGCGTGATGAAAGTGCTGCCGTAGACGATGTTGACGCACCACAGCCACAATTCCAAGAAGTGATACGTTCTACTGATGGCAAGCGACCTCAATTGGAGCATATTCCTTCTGAAATATCAGACGAGGATCTCGTAGAAAGAGAACAGTCTCCAACGCATATTACAGCAACATGTCGAGGAGACAGGAAAGACTCGTCCTCTGACCGCAATTCATCTCCAGATAGCGATGGTCCTAAGGCATGTGGATCACACCGTCGCTCAGCCTCTGGAGTTGGTGCTATTGTTCTTGAAAGTGGTGAACCTCAGAAGGGCGACAGTAGTGACAAGTACTCAGAGGAGAGTAGGGACCAAAGCACCCAAGAATTTGACAAGATAACCGAAGAACCCGAAGGTGACATGTCTGTTATAGAAGAGGAGGTTCTCGTGGAGTCTAGCACAAATGTTTTTTCGTACGATGATGGAAATGAAATGGGTACGCACCTTACTGGTACACTTTCGCCAGACTTGGACTCGCCACCAAAAAAGAAAGACGGAGACGATGGATCAATAAGTGGGAAACTAGATGCTGCCTCTCCTGTTGTGCTAAGGTCCAAATCCAAAAGAAGAGAAAAGAAAAGTGAAAAGAGGTCGTCGCGGGACATGGACACTGGTCATTCTGGGTCTGAAACTGACCACAGCCATTATTATTCTTTTGAAGTGACGTCAGATTCTGGTAAAACACCTGGCCCTAGTCGGCCAACATCATCCGAGTTTGATGTAAACATACTAAGTGGACAAGCGTCCTCAGAGTACGAGACGTGTGCCACATCACAAGATGGTGAAGTGTCTGGGTCTTACGCTACCGCAGCAGCATCATCTCACGACACATCCTTTGCAACGGCGCGTTCATCTTTGAGTGGGAGCTCGCGTGGCTCTGCTTATTCTGTCGACTCCGAGAGCTCTGGGCACCTAGGAAGCATGGAAGTTTCTGAAGCAAGTGAAACAATTGTTGCTTCTGCGCATGAAGAACTCGATTCTGACAACGAATCGGAACGATCAAAATCTGTCCTTCGGGAACCTTACGATGGAGAAATACCTGAATCAGTGATTCGTGGTGGAGTAGAACATCCATTTTTGCCTAGCTGGCAGCCACTTGCCAAAGAGGCAGCCCCAAAGCTCTATGTACCTGTCGGTGCCCGTCCATTGACTTCTGAAGCTGCCTTGAGCCAAGGCCACAGTGCAGTACCAGTAGAACCAGAACGCAGCTGCACTGGATGGCCGTCTGCCAGCTCGTCTAGTGCTCAAAGCAACACTAGTAGAAGCACTTCCAAGACAGAAATTTTGAACGGAACGGGTTCTTCAGCATCGCTTGACGGACAGCGTCGGCTTCGTTATAATGATGACTATATGGCAAGCAGTCACGAAGAAGAACAACTCTCGGTGTCGGAAAGCTCGGCCACGCAGAGCGAGCACACGTGGCAGACTAGCTTAGAGACCATGGTAGATGCCGTGGAAGCGCAGCGCCTTTCTTGTGAGAGGGAATTTAATCACCGACAGTCAACAATTCAAAACTCAGTTTCGTTGCCCTTTGATGATGCGGCGGCTGAAGGCGCAGAAGCTGAGCGTAGCACTGGCAATGATCGTGCCACTCCCCCGTTTCAGGAAGTAAACGGCCCTGTGGAAGTGGAATACGTGCCAGAGTATGACGACCTTACTGCTCGAACTCTGCGACCTGTTCTAGAGCAGAATATTTCTGCAGGTCAAACAGACATGCAGGGTTCAATTGGGACACCGGAAGCATCGCATGGTGAAGTTTCTTTTAGCCGTGTGCTTGATGAACAGGAAGATAACATGGAACTAAGGGAGGAGGGCTTCTATGCAGAAACGTTCCAGGGAGATCTGTCGTCTGAAGAAGTAGAAAGTGCAGCAGACGTAAGATTATTGCAGAGTAGATCTCCCTGTTCCTACAATGAATACTGTGATAACGTGACCAGATACCTTGACTCAGACGTGTGTCCTGAGGTCAAAAACATTTCGTTAAGGGAACATTTTGAATGCCCAGCCTCACCAGAACCTGTAGATGGAGTAGATGTTGAAGATCACAAACCAAACACATCACAAGGGCACTGCAATGATGACAATGGTGACAGTTCTCATCATATCAACGTTGAGGCACCGATGTGTTATGATAAAAGAGAAATTAAACAGGACTGCTCTGAAGGCAATCGCTGCAACTTCCTGGCCGGCACAGGAAGTTACTCAGTCCAAGACCAGCCTCGTTCCGAAACTGCGTCGTCTAGTTCTGGAAGGGATACAGCCGATGACATCAAGCTTTACACTAGCAAATGTGAAGACTATATTCTTCAGATGCGTCAAACTTGCAAGTACGGCGTTGGTCTTTCAAATACATCGGATGAAAGCTCTTATCTTCCAGAAGAGGGTATGGATGTGGAAAATGTCAAACTGCTAGCCAGTCGACTGCAGGAAGGAAATGTAAGCCACCAGGACTTTCCATACGATTTATCTTATGAGCATGAGTACGTCGGAGATGCCAGAGTAGAACACGGTGACCTATATACTCACCAAGAAGTAGAGGAGGATGCAGATGACGACGAGCGCACTCGTTTGCATGGTAGAAGGCGTCTTAGCCCAATATCAGATGAGCGTGGGTCGACGCCAGATTACGATACTCTTGGTGGACGCAAGACATTTGGGAAAGGTAGCGAAAAGGACGATGCTTCCACCTCCTCTTTGATGGAATTCGAGAGACTTGAAGCTGAGATGGCATCAGGCGCAAAATCATCGAGCGTCGGATCAAGTGATTCATTTAGTGGTCGTCAGCAGCAGATCCGTAACGGTACAGGCAGCGAGCAAGACAGTGTATCTGTAAACTCGCTTACAGAATTTGAACGGCTTGAAAAAGAAATAGTAGAAGCTGAAGGGGTAGACACCCGACTACGTGGAGAAGCTGTACCAAAGCTTGATGAAATCGACGAGGGTCACGAAAGCCAAGCCTCAGATCCAGGGCATGAAACTATCGTGTACGATGAAAATTGCATAACTTTATCGCGAGAAATAACTGTGGAGAGTACTGTTAAGGAAGAATGTGATGGAACGGGTGATAACACACATTTGGAAGGAATTCTAGCTTCAAACGAGCAAGACGTTTCTTTGTACAGGACGGAAAGACACTTTCTAACTACACGGACTGAAAGCGGTCACTCGGTGGATAGCGTTGATAGACAAAGCTCTGCATCTACTGCAACGCAGTTTGACGCCGACTCTTTGAGGGACAGGGAAATTGACGATTCTGAATCGAATTTCGGCCCTGAAACTCCTGGTTGGACACAAAAAGAGTGCACAGATCTGGACTCGATGCATGATTCACTTCATGACTCCGAACGCTATGATTCCCTTCAGGAGGCTTTAAGTAGAGACAAGGATTCATTGCAACTAAGAGAACCATCTGCTGAGGCTGACTCCTTGCAGGATGATTGCAATGATTTGCAAGATTCCTTGTATGAAGCTCGTGACATTGAATGGGACTCTGTTCGAACCGAAGATGATCCTTCTCACAATTGGCAGCAATTCTCAAGCCAGATTCGCACAACGGAACTATCGCCAACATTATCTCGACCTGCATCTTCGCCACTTGTTGCTCCAGTTGTTGTGGAACGTATTGACACGCTCACATGGGTTGACCAAGACTCAACGAAGGCTGTCATTGCAGATGAAGAGTTGCTAGATCGACCTCAAGAGGGTCCGCGAACTGATGCGCTTGTCTCAAGCACCGACTCCCTGGAGCCTAGTAGTTCTGCAAATACGCATGCGACGTATCAGTGCGATACTGATTCAATGATGTCCAGCCTCAATTCTGCTGATGAATCGACCATGGTTTCTAGCACAGACACATTGGACCATGAAGCATTACATTTTGCCACTTCAGGCAAGCCATTGCACCTTGAGAGCAGCCTTCAAATGGAAGGAGACATCACAGAGGAACACTTGGATTATGTCACCACAGATCATAGTCATAATAAGCGAAAGCCGGCCGTAGAAGGCAAATCAGCCGATGACATCGAGGAGCGCTTTCGGGAATGCTTGCTGCGTTCAGCCACTTCACCAGTAGATGAAGAGCAAGTTGAGGAGCGCCAAATGATTGATGAAAAAGGAAACTTAATCGTTACACGGACTGTGAAACGGCACGTGACATCAGAGCCGCGGCTGCACGCGCAAACATTTGCAGGTCCAGATGCCGAGCAGCGAAGTCGCGACTTTGTCGCTTCGTTTTCTTCCATCGAACCGTCATCAGAAAAGGACGAATGTGAAGGTTTTGACGCAGCTGGTAACACAATCCGCGTGACACAGCATGTGCTAGTGCGGCCTATAGTGAAGACTGTCACGTTCTCAGGCCCAGATGCACAGCTACAGATGCAAGAGTACATGCGCAACCTGGCTGGCGGCCAACAGTCGTCGGCTGAGAACACACCGACATCCGACTCTGGTGTTGGTGTCTGCACATCGCTGGCCAGCCCTCCGCCCTTAGTGCCCGACCCCCCCGCAACAGCGCCCTCGTCTGCTTGCCCTGGGCTTCAACGCTTGTCAGGTAGATGGAGACGCGACGTCCCCTGTCCAGTGACCTTGAGTTTGTTACCCCCTCCACCTTCCTTTGACCCCTTGCCCTTTTGAGTAGGCTGGTGGGAACTGCACTGGTGTTGATGAAGTGTGTGTGTGGGCTTCATGGCTTATCGTTTGAGCTCCTTCCCATATAGACTGTCTTTGTTTGTCTGTTTTTATATATTCATATATGTGTTGCTCGTTTTGTTTTGTTGGCATACATATGCTTCAAAGAGAAAAAGAGGCACTAGACATTGGTGACTAGTAGGGAATGTTTTGACTTGCTTTTTTTTTAAACGATTGGCACAGAAGCTTAATGTGCACGTTTCATTCAAATTTTCCTCATATGTTCAACTTATTGTGATTAGTTTAATTAGAAATGGGCAATTACAGCTTGACTGTATCACGAGCTTTCCATGTAGTGTATGTTTTTCTTTAATTAATGGTAGCTGTAGTCTGCAGTGACACGGATGTCGCGCTGCTAGCATTTTTTTACAGTATATTGTCTTAGTGCCCTACCTATGCATTAATAAACAACTACTATGTGACTGGCATTTTTCTTTAAGGCGGGGACCATTGGATGGAAGCAGAGTCAGCTTTGGATGACTCTTCGCGACCAGTCACTGCTACTCGGTGAGGCACCATTGTGCACCTGTGGAAATTATTTTTGTTTACGATACCACGAGCAGAGTTGTGACAAGCTATTGCAATTCTAGCCACAAATTTTCATTGTATGCCATCTTGAGTTTAGGTGCATGTTAATGAACCAGGAGGTCAAAAATTAATTCGGGTATGACATGCTTCACTGCCATATCATTGTTCTGGCACGTAAAACCTAATATATCTATGAAACGATTATTTAGTCTCATTCTATCATGATTGGCTAATCTCAAAAGGCCCTTCATCGTGCAAAAATAATAATAAGCATATTTTGAATGTTGCTTGCTATTATTTATGTCCTGCTGGATGATTGCTATGTGCTAATTAAGCATGTTTTGCAAGACATACCGTATTTTCCGGTGTATAAGGCGCACCTTTGTATAAGACGCACCCCCCAGTTTTCGCAAGTTTTCATGCAAAAATTAATATATAAGACGCACCGGTGTATAAGACGCACCTTCATTCACTCACTTTCCGCAAAGAAACTTCATATAGTGCAGTTGAGCGAGCATTGTAAAATGCCGTACTTACGTTTCTGACCGCCAGTCCGTAAGAAAACTTATACTACACCGAACTTGTGAGAAAAAATAATGCGCACCCACTGAAACGTTCCGCACGACTGCAGGAAAACATTTTATTCCTCAAAGCCCTTAAAGTCCTCGTCCTCCGACGCGCTTTGGAATAGTTCAGCGAGCTCTGGCGGCAGTGACGCTGGGACTTCCTCTGTTTCCTCTTCGGAATCGCTGCTGCTGCTGCTGTCGTCGTCGTCGAGGCCAGGGGCTGAGGACGCTAGCAGGCCTGCCTTGCGCAACCCCGCAGTTACGGTGGCCTGTGACACCGCACACCAGGCTTCGCGCACCCACTTTGCGACCTCGCAAAACGAAGCACGCCTCATGCGTCCAGTTGCGGTATAGCTATGCTCGCCGTCGGACATCCATGACTCCCACAGGCGCCGCAGAATAGCCTTGAAACTGCGGTTCACCGAGATGTCCAACGGCTGAAGTATTTTTGTCATCCCGCCTGGGATAACCGCAGCGGTGCAGTTTTTTGCCTTGATGCGCTTCAAAGTGAGCTCCGTTATATGCGCCCGCATGCTATCCAATACCAGGAGGCCCTTCTTCGCATGAAAGAAACCGTCCGGTCGCTTAGAAAAGCATTTTTCAAGCCACTTGCCCATCATCTCTTCGTCCATCCAGCCTTTCACGTTCGTTTCTATGACGACACCAGGCGGGAAAGACTCTTTCGGCATCGCCTTCCGCTTGAATATAATTATTGGCGGAAGTTTTTGCCCGTCGGCGCAACATGCCAGCACAACCGTGAAGTGCGCTTTTTCGTGGCCGGTAGTTTTGATGGTGACAGACTTGTCACCTTTCGGTGCCACACTCCTTTCCATTGGAATGTCAAACGTAAGTGGCACCTCGTCCATGTTTATTATATGGCTGTTGCCGATGCCATCGTCTTCAATGGCTTTCTTAACGAAAGCCTGGAATCTTTCAAGCTTGTCCTTGAAATCTGCTGGCAGATTCTGGCACATGCTTGTGCGGGCCCTCATCGCCAGCGCTTTGCGGCGCATAAATCTGGAGCACCAGGACGGCCCGCCAACAAATCAACGGCGCCCACCTCCTTAGCTAGCGCCTGCGCTTTGAGACGCAGCTGCACCGTTGACATCGCCCTACCTTGGGCACGCTGCTCCAGTATCCATGAGTGCAGACGTCCCTCAAGGTCTGGCCATCGTGCTTTCTTGCCGCAGTCAGCTTTCTTGTCACTCTTCATGGCCTGAAGCTTAGCAGTCGACTGTCGCCATGTGCGGACCATCTTCTCCGTGACGTTGAAATGACGGCCCGCTGCCCGGTTTCCGTAGTCCTCTGCATACTTCACAGCAGCAAGCTTAAACTTCGCCGTGTAACTTTTCCGTTTAGCCGGCATACTGCAGGTGAAGGTAACAAAGGCGCGGACCAACCGAACGAATGAAGTTGCAAATGGCGACTAGTCCAACTCGCTGAACGACAGCGTAGCGGTGGTAGCCGCAGTAGCGGCCGAATCCGAACCAAACCGTCGAACCCGTCGCGCACCTATCGCCATCTTAAGCCGATTTCACTCACTGAGTACAGCTCTCTATGGTACAGCCTCCGAAACGCGCGCAGCTTCAGTGAGCTGAGAACTCGCACGACGACATACTTTTTAAAATTTTTCCGTTTTATGTACTTTGGTTTTGTTTTAAAACTGTAGTACCGGCACGTTGAGTGTTCGTTATTATAATTATGATGCATAATTCGCATTGGACTGCTCTAGTGGTTTAAAAAAAAAGACTAATGAGCATCAACACGAGTTTCTCCCAAAAAACTACCCAAAAAAGTGCGTATAAGACGCACCGTTGTATAAGACGCACCTCCAAAAATTTTGGAAAAAAACCGCGTCTTATACACCGGAAAATACGGTATATATGAAGTTTTTCCAGTCCAGTCTTCTGGCCACATTGGCAGTGTTGTCTGAACAATTATTTGCATACATATGTAGTGTGGGATTAGAGACTGGTGGCATGCAGGTAGGCTACCTGATTGTCTTTACAAAGGACATAATGGATTCTATAAATGTTCTTTGGCATTAACTTCATGTGCGTTGGTTTCAACATATGGCAGTGCACAAGCTTAATCTCTAAAATATTCCTACACGTTGTTCTATCAAAGCACAAGAACACAATTTTTTTAAAGTCGATAGTCTTTCTTGGGGACCTAGACGCAAAAATTTTGGTCTGTCTGTCTGTCTGTCTGTCTGTCTGTCTTTCTGTCTGTACATCTGTCTCTTTGTCTATTCTTAACAGCATTGGGTACTTGAAACGGCTGACCCCATCCACAGCGCCCACCGATGTTGCTCAAGATTCAGCGTTCATACTTGTGCAATTGTCAATTAAAAAGTAATTATTGCGCATGTCTGGGGCACCATAACAACACGTATATATTCTGCATGTGTGCCTTTTACTAGAAAAGACATACATAAGTAATTTTAAGGACCGTAGCGCTTATCACGCTGCGCTGACCTAGCAACGCTTGCACGAAAAGGAGAGCGTTTCCAACGCTTTGCTAAAACGAGACGGTGGTGGCACCTACCCTGGCGACGTGTATATCATGAGGCTGAGAGACGCAACACCCGAAAACACCGGCAAAACCACTGCATATAGTTCGGCTTTAGCTCTCTTGGGTGTGTACGCTCTTTATATGTAGTGTACATTTGTACTGCGTATCCACCGCTAATGACAAAGAGGCAAAGAAGGCTGTTCGCTGTGAAAAACAGGTACAAAGTTGCAATGCTGAGGTGATATTTTAAGCTGGAGCTTGGTGTTTGATCAAAATAACTATAGGCTGAATTTTGACAGGCTGGTGTTGCATGACGCACTTTGCTTGCTAGTTGTGTGGCGGCTTTTACAAGTGCAATATGTGGCACATATCTTCTGTGGATGTCGAACAACTTGCAGCAATATACGCCTTTCGCTATGTTATTTTTACAGCGGAAGCTGTTATCAGATTACAACTCTGGTCTCGCACAGCATCGTAGTTGTCCGCCGCTGCTGGTGTTTGTAACGACATCGCGTGAAATTAGAAAAAAAAAACTAGTACGAATCACACAGCGGGGCTAGAACCCCGGTCCACTGATTGATTGATTGATTGATTTGTGGGGTTTAACGTCCCAAAACCACCATAGGATTATGAGAGACGCCGTAGTGGAGGGCTCCGGAAATTTCGACCACCTGGGGTTCTTTAGCGTGCACCCAAATCTGAGAACACGGGCCTACAACATTTCCGCCTCCATCGGAAATGCAGCCGCCGCAGCCGGGATTTGAACCCGCGACCTGCGGGTCAGCAGCCGAGTACCTTAGCCACTAGACCACCGCGGCAGGGCAAACCCCGGTCCGTCCACTGGGTTCAAGCCCAGTATTGTACCACTGCGCCGCGCTGAAGCTTGAAACTTGTTGGCAAACTTGCCGTAGGCAGGCTTGATGTTTGTTCATCTAATAACTGTGGCATATACCCACTTCACATAATTCCCCATCGTTGTCAGCCACTGCATGAACAATTGCCGCAAAATTCCTCGGGATAGTTTAGGGGATACCACACTTCTCAGAAGAATGATGAAAAATAGCATAGCGAATGCCGGCCTACTACCCTAATATTCTTATTATTAATGCCGTAGTGTGCATCAAGCAAGTGTGCTTGCAGCAGTTACCCAACGAGTGTTTAGAAAAGACTCTGAAAGGCCGCTCTTCTAGTTTTCGCTGTTACTGTGCTGCTTCTTCCGCGCAGGCCTGGTGTATTTTTTTCTTTCTCCATCTTTCATTTATTTCTCACTGTGTCTGTATTTCTTGTTACCTCTTTCTTTTATTCTCTTTCTCTTCATTTCTTTCTGCTTTACGTCCCTTCTGCCTCGTGTTTTACTGTCTTTTCCTTTACTGCACTTCTACACTACTTCGCTCTCCCCCCTGCTTTCTTATTTGTAAGTTTCTTAATCAAATTTTCGCCCTTGTCCTTGCGGGTTTGTGAAATAAAGTATGTCTGCATGTATAATGCAGGTGCACAAATTAACCGCGAATAGAAGCCAGTTGGTATGCATAACGCAAAGCTCTCAAAAATTGGCCGCCTATTTTGATACAAAGCACAGGTTCCAGAGAAGCTGTCTGTTAAAGGGGCCCTGAAGTACTTTTTGAAGTAACCTGGAAATGAATTCACTGGAAGAGTTTATTGCCTCACGAATTCAACACCGCAAAAATTTTAAGAAACCTTTCAGTGCAAGTAGGGCATTCTCTCTTCTCTCAACCCTGACGAAAGCGCTGGGAACTAAGCAAGGAGGGATGGCAGGGGAAACAAAAAAAAGTACGTCACGTGCACCTTGTGACCTTGAGCACTTTTTTCTTTTTTGTGTGATCGCGCGCATATACTGGACAAGTCCCGGGTTCCCACCAAGATCTCTGTAACGACCGAGCGCTCTATGTTCAAATCAGCCAATGGCTGATAGATGGGCTTTCTATTAGTGATTTTTGAGCGTCGTCCGTCATTTGTCGAGAGAAGAGAAAGCAAATTCTAGCTGACTTTGATAATTAATTGTGAATTTCAGGGCGCATGCTCCGCTATAATATTTGGTTCGCGTGTTTTCAGGACCCTCTACTTCCAATCGGCAGCGTTTTCTGACCATGCTCACAAAGTGTTGCAGGGCCCTTTTAAGAGAACTGGTGATTTGCTCACTCAGTCGTAATAAGCGCACAGCAAATCTTGCAGACCTTGAAACATACGTATAGTATTAAAAACTGTCAAATTGCATACTGTCGTCAGAAATATCGACATACACTTTTCCCTTCTAGTTCGGTGTATGCATGTCTTTTTCTTCCTTTCTCGTTGCGCCTACTGGACATTGCAAAGAGCTTTTGCCACTGCTAAATTTGTTTTGGGCATCCAAAAGTCATACAACGATGTCTAGATGCACTGCTAAAAGCACTTTATGCGATACCTACATGTGTTCTCTGCCACTGCGTGGACAGATTTGGAGAATAGATGGCAATCGAGCATGACTGTATAAACAAAGGTACCTTGTGCGCAGTCCCTCGTGATGCCAATAGGCCAATAGCGACGCGGCGTCGGCCCCAGGAAAAGAGGGGTAAGGGGTGGAAGTAAGAGAGGAGTCTTCACAGATGCGGCTTTCTTTAAAGCATGATGCTCTTCAAGAAATTTCACTGCCTACGCGGCACTGCAATGTGGTAACTTGCCATGGGCGACCGTGGTAACTGAACTATGCTGCGCGAGGCCTCCGCGCTTGTCTGCAGGCATTTTTCTGCTTGCTTTGCAGTTAGGATGACATGCTACAAAGAAAGCAAGCAACTTTTTCGTTGTTGTTCTTGCACAAAAATTTGAAATTCTTTGTGCATTTATTGCAGTTGTTTCTCATTAATGGCTATGAGATTTTAAAAATAAATTTGAAAAGAAAGTAGTGTGATTGTATTTGACAAGGGCAGCAATGTTCAGACTGTTTTCTTGTAGCAACTGTTTAGCATTGTTGGCTGGCGGACTTGATGTGATTAACGGAATTGCCTGGTTCTAAATAATTTGGAGTGGTTTTCAATGCATGGTGAAAGTCAACGGAGTCACAAAGATGAACAGTGTATTCTATCTATGTTCAAAAAGCGTTGCAGCGTCGGGCCCTCTTGAGAAAGCATAAGGGGAAAGTATGCTTGATTGCTGAAATTATTGTTGTGCTGTTGCGGTGTGAAAAAAATTACCAGTCTTCATGCGTATGATTTAGCGCTGTGACACTTTTCAAGGAGTAGCTCAATGATGAAATAGCTGGCCCCAGCATTGCAGAACATAGCTGTGAATTAGTAGCTGGGCTGCTAACATCAAAAGCGTTACCTATAATGTCTGTTCGGTTCCAACCCAGTTATGTTTGCGTACGTCTCTTTGTGTCGGGCGTGGATGCTGCTAAGTCAGTATCTCGCCGGAAATACTTATTTGGATACAACTATATGTCACCAAAAGCTGAGGCCAGGGCATGTTTAATAAAGAGAAACAATTAAGCAATTATTGCATGTCGCATGCAAGTTCCAGTAATTCCGCTTCTAAGCCCCGTATGTTGACCAACAAAAGAATGCCATGGAGCATGCCTCTCGTCTGCATAGTTGTAAGTTAAATCACTAATGAATGCGTTATATCGGCTGTTGAATATATCAGAAAGCTTTCATATAATTCATTTGATATGTTTGGTATACGCCACTGGTTGTGCCCCCTCTTGGCAATCCTCAAGAATGGGTAGGGGGAAAGAGAGAGAGAAACTTTTATTAGAAACAGCATGAGTGCTTTTCCGACGATGCACGCAACTGTGATGACCTGTACCGTACAGGTTACGGCCCGACGTATTGATGTGGCACATGCTCTGCTTTTCGCAGCGTCATCACGACGCGCACTACGCGCACCGTGGGTCCGGACGGCCGAGAACAGCTGGTGACAACCACAACCGAGGAGGGGGCTGGTGGCGACGAACCAGAGTTGCGCCTGCGCCGCAGCATGCAAGGGGTCCTGGATAGCTTCATGGCGGACCCATCTGCACCTCCACCGCATTCTGACGAGGAGTGAAGTCCCCGCCGGCGTGCCGCACATCTTCGCTCTCTGTAACCCCGTAGCACACATCGTACAGAAAGTCTTGTTTTGCACACGGGCCGCCGCTTCGCAGAATCGCGTTCCCCAGTATATCTCGTGGCCGAGCCTTCTGCAGCATTTGGCCTAATGTGCTTTCTTCAGATGAGGGAAGAACAGATCGCTCGCCCCGATATATTCGCTTATAGGCCGGTTCTCACTGCCTCTGGTGATGATGCTGTGACACAGCGTCACATTTACCTCGTCTCATCGCTTGTCGCACTGTGACTCGACGACATCTCACTATTGGCGTTTCACTCATCAGTACTAACTCAGTTATTGATTCAGTGTTTGGAACTCTCTGATGTCGATATTCATGGACATGGTTGGCGCTGTCTTTGGAGCCTCGCAGCGCCTTACGTTTGCTTGTTTGCGTCGCATTAGGAATGCAAAGCATCGTATTGAAGCAGTGCAGTATGTTAGGCGTCATCGTACTACGTGCACGTTCTTTTCTCGCCGAGGTGGGGCGATCATGTTCTGTCGTTGTGGTGGTTTAGGTTTTTAGCACTGACCTGCGCTTAGGGCCGTGATGTGTTCGACCTTTCGCGCTATTTTTTTGTTGTTCCTGGTGCGTCATGTATGTAAAAGTTAGGGCCACTGGGCACCGTGGTTGAAGTGAGTAGCTCGCGTCTGGCTCTCATTGTGTGCGAGCTTTGTCTGGTGCACGTGGCGATGCTAGCGGAGTGCTTTTAAGGCACAAGTACAGTGCAGTCTGCGGCTTTTCATGGCCTTTACTTGTGGAGCGCTGCGTGCAGATCACGCTTGAGCGATAGGGGATTTATCACACTGTTTATGTAATCTCACGTGCATGTTCTTGGCTTTCAATAAAATGCATTTTGGCTTACGTTGATGCCCCTTGTTTCACTTTTTCTTTTTTGGCCCAATAGTTTGTTGTACCATAACGGACACACAGTGTGTATACTAGCTCAGCAGCCAATTGTCCCCCAAAAAATATGTACATGAATGTAGGAACCTTGTCTCGTCGAGATATGTATGAATAGCAACCTCAACAGGCTTAAAAAAATTGAAAAATGTCCGCTAGTGTATGGCTCCTCACTTTTCTAGGTGAATTTCGCAAGTATAGTAGCCATACCAAGTAGTCATAAAACTTATACTGTATACTTCTTCAAATAAGTTTCATCATATTAAAAAAAGCACCACACTAAAGCTCAAATTAATGCACCAAGTATGTACATCGTCACAACTACAATTATCTTCTTGAACCACTCACTCTGATTGTTTAAAAAGTCACCCTTGCCTGTTTAAAAAACTGGTTTTACGGCTCATCTTCCCTACACCATAAAATAATAAAACGGTTTGTTTAGGTTGTGGCTTCTCAATTACTGCTAAATGGGCTGAATTTCTTGAATAATTTTGTACCTTATTTACATATAATAAACAAAACTTAGCAGTGTTCATTGTGTGTACAATAAATATGTCTGGAATGCTTTTAAGTGCGGTGTACTTAAGGGGGCAGGCTGTCGTATGCTGTCTTTGTCACTTGCCATAATCCAGGCAAAACGACGTATATATCATAGCCAGCTGTAGCATATTCAGTGCACGCTTGCACCAAGTAGAAGTCTTCTTTCTCTTGTGGGTCAAGCGCCTTGATTATGATTTTAGCATAATTCTTCCTATTGTTGTTCTAGCACCTTGACGATGATATTACTCCAGGCAAAACTACATGCAGCATAGCTAACTATGCTGCATATTACATGGCTTTATATGGCTGCATATATATCAATATATAATGAGCATGCACTTGCGCAAAAAGAGGTCTTCTCTTCGAGCACCTCGGTGGTGAATAAAGTGCAAACATTGCTGCTATGGCTAGGGAAACATGACAACACAAACCACGTATAGAAATTGAAAGAGGAAGCAAATGAGAAATAGAGTGAAAGAAAGAGAGAAAAAACAATTGAATAAAACGATTAAAAAAACCCCAGAAAGCTAGAGTCCTACTATACACACCAACTTACGAAGGCAACAGTTAGCCCAACAAACCGGTATGCGCTGCTCAAATTTGGGCCACCTATGAAAAAGCTATCATTATAAATGAGTATACGTCATGGAAATCGGGTAAATCTCATTATCACCTTTACTCCACTAAACAGAAAGGGGGCAGGAGTTAGCCTAACGCTAGGCAACGGGAAATATAGCTATGCGAGACACCAAAGCAATGGAAGGTCTATGCCAGTGACAACTTGCCGTATATCTATGAGAGGTGTGAACGCTTGGTTTCAGCTCGAGTTTCTTTCCTTGGAGTTAGGATGTCCCTGTCATGTTTGTGACTGTCAGTGGTTTAACTCGAACCTTTCTGCACTTAGAAAAAATGTGGATACAACCCAGCATCACCCAGTTAAAGCCTAGCAATGACCGAGAAGCAACCCTCATCACTTAGCGAAGTCCTAAAAACAACCTAAAAGCAACAAGATTTGTCTTCAGAATTGCCCAGTTTGGCCGTGTCAAGCCCTGAGCAGCTTAGTGCAAGTTTAACCAGTTTTGTTTCTTTTTTTCTGTCTTATATAAGTGGAAGCCAATAAAGGAACGAAAGATTCAAGAGAGGTAAGTATACTGTATAGATATTTTCGTAGAAGAGAGAGAAGTATATAGTAGAGATTTTTTCGTAGATGGTCGTATACGGGGTTTTCACTCAGTGACATTGCGCGTAAGGAAAAGATCAGAGTGACTACTGGCGGATGACAGTGGAACGTAAGTTAATGTATGAGGCAGCAGGCAAACGCAACTAGCAATGCTTAGGCCACGTGAGTGCTTTTCACGAGTCGGAAAGAATTAAGATGAAGAGCATCAGCTCGAGCAGTAGACACATCACAGAGTGATATGAAAAACAAAACAAAATTGTGGACGAAGATGAGGTTGTGTGGACGAGAATGGGCAGTGAAGAAGACCAGTAGGTTGATCGAGCAGTTCTTTCAAGGGCACTGCAGATATATATAGACAGCGTAAATAACATGAGTTGGGGTTATGCGGAGTTTCTTAAGGAATCGGGATTTGGTGCTCTTAACCGACAAATGGGCTACGCGTGTCAATGAGAGCATTGACATTAAGACTGTTGGCTTGAACTCCTCAAGTTTTCATGCGTAGCTTGTGTATATATATATATATATATATATATATATATATATATATATATATATATATATATATATATATATATATATTTATATATATATATACACACACACACACACACACATTAAGAAGTGTATACTTAAGGGCTCGTTTTTCCGTGTTTTACACAATATTAATGAGATCTAACAGACAATAATGCCAAGAAAAGTATAGGGGAAGATATATATATATATATAGATAGATAGATAGATAGATAGATAGATCGACAGACTGACCTGGGGAGCTGGTGGTGTTCCAAAAGAGCCTATCGCTGCAGGGAAAAAAAAAAAAAAGACGTGCTCATCCAAAAGCCCTCCTCGCCCACAGCTGCAGTGCGCACCAAACAAAGCAAATAAAACTAAATTTTTTCTGGGGCAGGGGTTTGAACCGGAGTCACTCCAGTCTGAAAGCGAGTGCCATGACCTCTCACGTGCCATATCTTGCCGAGAGAGAACCGTACTGAAGCACACGAATGCGTTACCGACATTGCATTAAATAGTTGGGAAGCAGTACGCTTAATTGCTATGGAGACTTCATTGCAGTATTGGCGCACTAAAAGCGATCTGCTGGACAGCGAGTAAGGTTGATATAAGGATTTGCAAATTTTGGGTAAATTCCGACTTCGAAAAAACTGAATACCTTGACCGCGTTTCAACGATCAGGGGAGGATCCTTTCATTGGGTCATTCTAGAGACTGACTAACACATACTGCATTCTTATACGAAGATAAGATACTCACACGAGCACTCGTGTGTGTATCCCTTCTTTGTGGAGCGTGTTCTGTGTTTACGCTGATAACTTTAATTCAGAAGCTATGTACCAACTAGGCCCAAAAGGAATATTATTGACCCTGGAAAGAACATGAAAGACGCCATGGCAATGCAGCCTGAAAACAGCGTTGGAGGGAAGGCTTCTACCTATAATAAAAATGGAACGTTTACATTGCGAGAGAGCATTGCTAAATGCGAACGAATGAAAGTAAGAAAGAAAAAGAAAAAAACAGGCAGCTAGTATATATCAGGTATGCCAATGCCTTATCCGCTTGCCTCGATTTTCCCGTTGGCTCAGGAAGGGCTGCTGAATTTAGGTTTAATGGTCTTTTCTGTTCCGTGGGCAATTTAGCAGAGCTTTTGAGGTGGCACGACACAATGAAATGTTACATTGCGAAGTTGCACCGTTCAGTTTATAGGTGCGGAAAATACTAGCAGGATGCAGAGGAAGAGGGCTGCTTTGGTTTGGCTGCCCTCGGTTGTATTATAGTAGATTGACCCAGACGCAGCACCAGAAATTGATGTGCCCTTAGTAAGGGTCACAAAACAAATAGGCTGCAGTACAGTTTTCAAGTTCTTGCCTGGTGACTGCCTGAATTAGTGAAATCACTAGTGCAGATGTTTCATTGCTCGCACACGGAACACGGGTCAATTCCTATTTAGAGCATATGAGGAACGCAGCGACGATAGCAGAAATGCTTCTTGAGTGACCGTATAAGTGCTGACGCAATTATAGCGCGCTGGTTTGCACAAGGGTGATTTTTCAGGAAACCATCAGCGTTTTGGAAAATGTGCCTATAGCGTCGATGTGCCTACTTGCATGAGAGGCATTCAGAAAGCTTTTCTGTTCCTGTCGGTGGGGCATGGGCCTGTGACACGGTGGTTAGACCAGCAACTTATACAACAGCCAGGGTGTGAATTTAGCCGTCGGAATATTGTAGTTTTGTTTTTTAGTTGCTTGCGAACGGCGTGTCCTTCACCAGCGCCATCGGAAATTACGCGCACTCCGCTATCCGCCCCCGAATCTAGAACTGTGATGTTCCGTACTACGCCGAAGAATGCCTATTCTGAGACATGAAAATTCCCTGTTTCACGGACTTTTTTCCTGCAAATGTTGAGAAATTGCCAGCATATTTCCCTGCCCAACAGTACTAATTTCCGCTCCCATCCACCCGCACACATACTATATTTAAACGTGTCTGACGGACTGGCGACATTTGAAATCGTGACTAGCCCCTCCACTGCCGCACAACAAAAGCATGACTTTATTAATTCGTATACCGTTAGTACACTACACATTGTAGGCTTCATGTCTAACACTAATAGTGAACTAGAAATTGCTTCGCATAAATATCACAAACAAATCAAATCTGAAAGGCTATGCTTGCGTGGCATGCGCCAGAACCGATTACAGCAGATGAAAGCGCACTGTGACCGCTAATTATCGGTTATCAGGGAAGGATTTAACCACTCCTGAAATTTCCTGCAACATCACAAAGATTCCATTTTCCCCTTTGGCTCAAAATGAAAGGCAAAAATTTCCTGAAAAGGGGAAAATTCCTGGCACGGAAAATCACTGCTCCAGAACGGCTCGAGGGGAAAATCAGAATTCTATGTTGACATTAGCACGAATGATGGCGTTAGCAAAAATGGGGGGCTGGTCTCACCGGCTAGGAGAGCTATACATGTTCGTATATGCCCAGTCATCGTCAACGTCACCCAGCTGGGCTTTCGAAACTTGACAGTCCCTTTAGCTAACACTAAAAAGCACAAGAGAAGGCCTAAGCTCTCACATTTTATTTCCTGATAATCCACATTTGAGTCATTTTTCTTACTTTCCAATCTGATTCACCTGATGTCCGTAGTGGTCACTTCTAATCATTTGACATACACTTGATGCTTGAATCCTTCTAATTCACCACCGTTCATATTCTTCTTCCTAACACAGACGCTGCAAGGCAGCTATAGCTTCCTTACCTGTCGCGTAGCATGTCTGGCGAAGGGGAACACGCCAAGCAAAAGACATACAAGATTCCACCAAATGAACCCGACGCTGGAACTGCGACCTCTATGCGGACTTTGTCGATATGAATTCGCTTCTTTGTCGGCTTTTGTTAGGGGCTGCCTTTATGAAGGCATGCACAATATTAATTGGAGTTATCGACTCTGCGGTATGCGAAGTCTGTGGCACCGAAGTGGACATCAATCATTTTCTATGTTGCTGTCTTTAGTTTCACTCTGAAAGGCGAACACTTGCTGATGCGTTGCGACGATTGGATCATTGTCCACTCTCCATGCAGATGCTGCTGGAGAACCGATTCCCATAAATTGTCGACTCTCACGAAAGTTGAAGCATACAAGTGCTTAAAAAAAACAAACAAAAAAAACTACGGGCTATGGGAACACCTTTGAGTATTGTACAGTGCCACTACAGCATACACGTCAGTGCATTTATTGATTATTTCCATCCTTCCTTCCCTCCTCTATCTCTTGTCTCCACTCCAGTTAGTTTCTCATTTCTCAACGTATAGGTATAACTAACCAGACTTCTGTCTGGTTAACTTCCTCGCCCTCTTCCTTTCGTTGTCACCCTTCTTTTTAATTAGCATTTGGCAGCTCTTTATTTAATTTGACTTTTCATATTTGGAATGTGGGTATGCGCCACCCACCACTTTTGATAGCATTCGTGCGGAATGCGCCGGACGCCAGATTTTTATAGCAGAACTGTTATGGTCGAGGTTTTGCCGTGCGTCGTGAACAGAAAATTGTCTTCATCATGAACAGATGCTGGTTCACTGTCCACCCAAGTATTTGATGGTTTACAACGGAAGCTTGAACGTGTTCACCAGATCTGCTGTGACACAGCCCTGTGCGACTTAGTGCAAGCTGCACTAATTACTTTTCTAAACTCAAGAAGCACACGAGGCTTCCGCCAATCACGAGGATCGCTCGACTGAGACACGGTGACGTATGGCATAGGTACTGTGGCGTGTTCTGGTTTAGATACTCCATCGAGGTCCTTTAAGAGGTAGTTTCCATGGCTGAGAGGCTATTCAGAAGCTTTGTCGACAGGGCCGCAAGGACCGAGCAACTGCACTCATAGGTGGAGGTGCTGGGTACTTGAGAGTGCTATAGTATACAGACACAGGTGTGAACATGCAATATGGGCTGGATATTTTTCACCAACTTGAGCTGGCGAACTGGAAAAAGCAATGTTCACCTATTTATTAAATTGTTTCCCCCACATTCACTTTGTTAGATTGGAAGGGAGCCAAGTATTTCACCTAGCGAAACAAGTGGAGCAGAATAAAAACTTGTTCTTGGGCACTGCATCTTCTCTTCTTTCCACCTTTTTCATGTTTTAGCTTTTGCAACAGAATTATTTAATTCAGCAGAAGAGAGCAGAGATGAGCTACACGCTGGCGCTTTGTGATCGAGGTGAGTGAACGACATAAATATTCGTGTGGCAAGCATGTGGCACTTCTGTACAGATTCAAAAGACATCGGTTAAGTTGATTGGTTAAACTTCAGCTAATATTGCATATTCATGAAGCAACACAAATGGCACAGTAAGGACTGTTTCACGCCATAAAAGTTCACACGACGACAGATTTTCTTATGACGCACACCTTTACTGTCGGCGCAACGAGCGAATATGTGCAATGAACGACAACATCAAGAAAAAAAATGTTCAGGAAAGAAGCTTCAGTGAGACAAAAGAGGAATTCAGCAGTACTCTGTATGTTTGTTTTTTATGGGAAAGGAGGAAGGGGTAAGAGAAATAACGATTTCGTACAAAACATTGTGTAGCTTTAAATATATTCTTCGTGACGTGTTTATTTTTTTCTTTATTGATGAGGGAAATGAGGCGGCGTCAAAGTCGAAATATTTCGCACTTAAATGCTTTACTTTCGACGTCACTGCTGCATGGACGGTACTGGGAGCGCATGGCCCTTAAAAAATGCATAGGCATTGAAGGGGCAGCAAAAATGTGGTACACGCATCGCCGTTATTACTGACACTGCGTTCTTTGCCAAGTTTATGATTTGGTTACGAAAAGAGGCAGCCACTTCGTTCTACTGAATGAACGTGGTCTTGCTGTAACTGGCGACGACGATCTCTCTAATACTGCATTGAGTGCTTCCGGGGGAGATTCGGTGTCATCACTAACTGAGAGGGGCAAAGTTTGTCTGCAGAGTTGCCCGATCGCAGAGTAGTCCTTCTTTTTCGGCCTACGGAGCCTAAGAGAAAGAAAGCTTTTTTCCGTGGACTCTTGCCTCGACTTCCGATGCTGCGTCGTTGCATCTTCACGGGAAAATTCCAGCCTCTGATTCTGTTCTAAAAGCACATTTAAGTTAGCAGCAGTTGAGTCATGACAGGGAGAGGGCGAACTGTCGGTTGCAGAAAGAAAAGCAGTGACTTCTTGTCTTGATGAAGCAAGCTCCTGTGTGCTCCGTGGCAGCGCCACTGGGACTGCCATAGAAGTATGTGGAATGTAGTAAGAACTTTGTCCATGCCTGCTTGACGTCAGCGAACTTTTGTGGCTAGAGTCCCACGAAGGGCTCGGTAGACTCGAAGATGTGCTGCCTGAGGACTTTTGGCTTCTTGGAGTTTCAGAATGACAAGGTTCTTGCGGAATCCGCAAGTCTGATGGGTCACGCTCGTGATCAGTGAACGTATGTTCTTTTCTGTAGCGTCTGCTTACTTTCGACATACAAGCAGAGTCGTAGTTTTTTTCTGTTGCATCAGACAGGGAACCTCGATCGGTCTTTGCACGATCATGGTCACTGAGGCATAACGAGATATGATGTGGGCTGTTGCTAAGGCACCCGTCTTTCATTTCAACTGTTTCATTTCTGTCGTTGCAGCCTGTGGGCGAATGCGAGCGGACTTTTTGTTGTGGGAACGAAGGGGCTAGGTCGTCACTGAGACGGGTCTGTAGATCTGTCGTGTTAGACTTATCTTTATGTGTAGTACTCGGGCCACGACGATCATGGCTCTTCCAAGTAAAGTTGTATGCAACCTGGAAAAAAGAGGAAGAAAATAAAATAAATCTTTGTTAGGACGTGCCACTATTCCGAATAGAATCGTAGCAATATGCTTGTCCAAGGTGGACAGTAGGAAGTTTTTAATAGTGGCCTCAAAGTGCTTTGCGTGTACTGACTTTGGCTCACGCAGGAACTACGAGTCTCTGTACCACTCCACGGTGGCTATAAAAAAAGGAAACTACGATAAATGATGACTAAAATCTGGCGTACAAATTTACTTTTCGTACATGTAATCCTCAATTTTTTTTTATTTGAAAGGTAATGAATTTGGTGGTACTCGTCATCGATTTTATGAGTATGTGAGTATACACATTACTTGCCATCATCGGCCAAGACAACCCAACTTTGAGTCAACTGCTGCTTCAAGCCAACTCTCGTCCGGCGTCTGAAATCAAGAGCACATCTTTGAAAGAAAAGTGGCGTCCTGGCCAATATTGGTTCGATGCGTGAGCTCGGATAAAGCGACAGCATACACCAGCATTTGTTTTATGATAACGTCAATTGCTCACAAGTCGAGACAGTAAATTTGGTCTTAGCCAAGAACCATCGCTTCGATAACGCCATGCTTGTTTGACGGAAAGCTCTTGGGGTACGCTTTGGTAGCTTTGGGGCTCCCGCTAAATTTCAGAAATAGGGTGCCCGACGCAAAGCCTAAGTGCTGTCAGGATCTTGCGCATGTGTAGTGGCTTCGACGCTATTTCTTTTGGGTACCAAAACATTTCGCACATCCCTGTTTGAAAATTCACGGGCGTGGAGTTATTGACATTTTGCAACCGCAGCGCCGAATAAGCTCTTCCTTCGCAAGTGTTCTTTGCCATTGCTCGGCTTTCTTCGCAGACAATTAGTCGAGTATCATGATTGGGTGGAAATTTGCCTATGAACCAAAAGGAACAGAAATTATTTTTTTCGAATACAAGCCATGCTTTTCACTAAGGCGTTGTGTCATAATCTAAATTCGTGCCATTCGTTCTACAATAACAGTGCTATGCTCTGCCATTTTTTAAAATACCATAATACCTGTAGAGCCATCAAAATAAAATAGTGATAAATGTACTTGCCATTTACGTTTAATTTTATGTTTAACCAGGGAAAAATACTCGCAATTTTCGCTCTGCTCCTCAATCAGGAAAGCATGGATTCGAGGACCGGCCATGGTGGTCGCATTTTGATGGAGGTGAAATTAAATGAAAAAGAAAGAAAGAAAACCGTACATAATAATTATAGGTGCACGTTGAAGTGCCACCAGCCCTCAAACACTGTCATATATATTTATTTATTAAACTATAAAGTATACTTATTTAAATGTAATCTTCTTAGAAACACTTTTCTGGCAGGCCTACAGACTACACGTCATGAACAAGAAAACATTTCAGTGCCACTAGAATAAGAATTTTTTTTTATTTTGCATTGTGCATAAATTTTAAATAACAGACGCAATGAGACTTGTTTAGAAATGAACGAATCATCGACAATGATGCCAATTTGCATTTCAGTAACCTCCAGAGAGTCAACACTCTTACACTGAGCCAATGAGCTATGTACACAATGTAAACATTTGTCTCAGAGCAGCCTGAGTAGCCTCGTGATCTGGATGCCCATCTTAGTTCAAAGTGAGTCCACGATGCGCATGCACCTTCGCCGCGTGTAAAAGTCGCAGGAAGGAAGAACGCAGATGATGGCATCCCACCGCTGCCACCAGTTGTAAAGGTCGCAGGAAGGAAGAACGCAGGAGGATGCGAAAAACAAAACATGTTTATGTCACTATTTACACATATTTACAGCAAAGAAAGGTTAGTGGTTTCACAAACCACGAGCGTGGTGGTTGAACGTTACATAGTTCAGAGCGACGTCCAGCACTCTGTGGCGTCGTTTTAAGCCCTGTTGGGCTCCTCCTCTCCGAGTGGAACACCAATCACACACATCCAGGTGAGGGGGACGAGCATGCACGGTCCACGTGAACACTCTTCCTCGTCGTGTGTGTGCCGCTAGTCGAGAGTTCCCACGATCCTGGCAGCATACTTCAAAGGGTCCGCCGCACAGCTCGCCCAATTAGCGGGGTGATCTTCGGTAGCCGCCGCGGTCTTTTCCAGGAAGATGCTTTCTTTGTTGTCCTCCCTCGTCGTGGCGTCGTGGCGACACGACGTCTCATCCTCCGGCTAGCAGGGACAATGACTGGCGGGCACAGGCAGCCGGCCGGTCATCTACTTGATTGGGGATTAAAAGGAGCACCACTCTCCTGTCAGCTCTGGCGCCGGTCACGCCAGCTTCCCCCGTCGCCTGATGAGTCGCCGAGGCCATTAGTCACCGCTTCTGCTCGAAGAGACGACAAAAGGGTCCGCATTTGAAAGCCGGGAACTCGCCTTTACTTGTCGCGTGGTCTGGATAATTGCTCAAATCTTCGACAGCGTCTGTCAGACTGGGCGCCGAAGGGATTGCGAGCCTCTACAGTGGACCGGCTTACGCACCATGGCGTCTGCCCAGATGAATTTCCAGGCCAAACTTAACACGCGTCAGAGGCCCAAACAACTAATGTTTTTTATCGCCGCACTCTAATGTAGCGAGATATCAACCCAGGCGAAAAAGTAATACAAAGATCCGGTGATGTCAGTTCGACTTACAATTGCATCTGCTCGCTCTGACTGAGTATAACTATGTACTGTTACGGTTGGCAGCGCAGTAACTCTGATGATTACATGAGCCAAATGGCGTTGTCTGGCGGCGTATATATATATATATATATATATATATATAGGTGCGTGAGAAATATATGGTTCGAGGTGGGTCAGGTTCACGCTACGCGCGCTTTTGGCACACACGCATGTATAGCTGTGGAATCTCCCACTAAGTATATACACTTTGTAGAACGCTGCTGTTGGCTGCCACACTTGGATGGAGCAAATTGTGTAGTTGTAAGCTCGTCAGCATTCACGCCTTCAAGTCTACGTTTGTGCTCTGTGTTTGATTTAGCATGACCATGATCCCGCAGGAATGTGGTGGCGGTCATGTTATTTCACTATAGGACCTGTATGCGCAAAAGAAAAAAAGAAAGGCCCCAATAAAATTGTCCATAACAGCAAAGTAAAAATCTGGACACAATATTAGCAAAGGTGGCCAAACAATGGCAGGCAGAACTTGCGAATGAATGTCCAGCCCAATTGACAATAAATGTCATAGTGTACCTCAAGGCTAGAGGTCGACGAGGGATCGTTGAAGACGTCATCTTCGTAGTCGCCACAGCAGCTCACGCGACGATCTAGTTCATGGTCTCTCTCGAGGTGGCGCCAGTCGTGCGACTCGCCCAGGCGCCGGGCTCCACCACCACTCAGAGCCATCCGCGTAAATGAGTCGTCCTCCAAGCACGAGCTGTCCGACGAGGTGGACAGGGTGTCCCGTGCACGTGCCAAACAGCTGCGTGGCAGCCGCAGGCCCAGAGCCACGTGCTCGCTGTCGTTGATGCTGGAACTCTCGCTGCCGTCGTGGCCCGAGGCCAGCGCCTCAGGAGCCGACCTGTGGGATGGGCTCTCGGACGAGGAGGCCAGCGAGTGGCGAGCATTCTCTCGAAAACCGTTTGGGCGACGGCTTATGTCGGTACTGTCGGCCATCTGGAAAAAAAAAAAAACGGTTGGATGCATTCACGTCGTGTGCACTGCTGCTTTTGAAATCTCGATCACTAGTTTGGTCTTCATAAGCTTCAGTGCAATATGGCTTGATGGCTGCGGGAGAGGAGTTGCTAGAGTGCGAGCCACACGTAGATTCTACAAATACAGCGTTTTCAACCCACTCGTCTAGCACGATTTGTAATACGGTGAATGCAGAATATAGTTCGTAAAGCTCCTGAAATCTCGATACCTTATTTGCACCACGTTGAGTCTCTTAGATCGCTAACACTTATGCAAATCTAGGCCTGCTGACGATTCTTCCTATATACACCACATGTATGCGTATGCCATTGTGGCTCGATCATCATCGCAGAGCAATTTGTATGCTAGAGCAGTTCATTAAAACATGTTATGCGGAATCGTGAGAACGAACCTGCTTGTGAATAGCAGCCGACTAGTGTTACACAAGTGTTACTTAAAAACAGCTCTGCGAAGGAATTGTGTTAGTTTAAACTATTTAAAGCAGACGGAGCACTGACCTCATATTTTCGAAGCTGCTGGAACACAACCCTTTGTTGTTTTTTTTTAACTTAAGAGCATAACGCTCTACAAGCACAAATATTCAGAAACATGCAATATTCTCCAGTAACGTCTGCCTTAAAAATGATGATCTCTCAACAATAATAATATTATTGAAATCGTACTTATCACTAATTTATCGTTAGGCTGAATTTCTGAGAAGCATGGCGTACAGGTGTCGTTCGTGACATGAGCTACCAGCACGGAGCTCTAGCAGGCCTTATATCCTCGTGACTGAAACAATATAGGACAACGAAGTGGGGAACACGAGCAGTAACCACCGTTCCTCAACTTTTTCTTTTTACAGTCGAGAACATCATGATGAACTAGCACGCGCTCTCTTTATCCTATTTGCAGTGAAGCTGTTTAAGCTATCAGATTTGCTCCGCCGGGTGAAACTCTTCAGGTGGGTATACGCCCCAGGAGCTAAGCAAGCCCCTTTACTGTGTACACCAGCTGCGAGTGTCAGACGAAAACAAACTGATGGAAAAAGGAGGAAGAAAGAAAGAAAGAGATAGAAATTTAAATAAATAGACAGAAATGAAAGTTATAAAGACATGAAAAGCTAGAGACAGAGAAAAATATAGAAAAAATAGGCACAAAAAGATAGAAAAAACCGAGCCAGAAAAATGAAGAAAGAAACAAGGAAATAGAGAGAAACAGGGAAATAGAAAAGAAGCAGAGAGAGAGGAAAGAAATGGAGGAAATAGAAATAAAATAGAAAATGGGATGAAAAAAAATAGAAAAAGTACTAGGAAAGGACAGATGGAAAAAGAGATGCAAGAAACAGAGAGAAAAGGAAAGAAAAGGAAGAAGAAAATAAAAATAAATAAGAAAGGCCATTCAGCTGTTCTCTTCCTTCAGGCTTAAGACGTCTAAAGCGAAGCTGCCGTAACTTTTTAGTTAGGATACTATGATGCCCACTAGAATCTTTGCTGGTAGTTAAACTCACAAACGAAGCCAGTGTACACCTTAGGGTGAAAAAAAAAATGCACCGTGACAGATGTTATGACCGCAGAAAGAAGGGTGCAGCATTATCTAAAATCACCAGAAAAAAAACACACACACACACACAAGCCGTTTGAATTCGGTCGCGCGCAGAACGCTTCAAACGTATTGGGGCGTCCGGCCGAGTTGGGTGTGCAGTTTGCGTAAACTGCGGACTCAAAGGAGTAAAACTTGACCTGTATCTTACCTGATGCATTGACGAGCCAAGTGAAGCAGCTGTATCGGTGTGAGCCTCGCCTAAAGCCGAGCTGATACCTGCAAAGTGAAGCACCGAGTAGGGACACTGCTTTCTGAAACAATTACGGACAACCTCGATAGTATGGTCGAAATAAAAGGCATAGGAAAACCCAATAAAATTAAGTAAGAGGGCTTAATATGGTGACACTGCGCAGTATATGTTAAGAAAATGCCGTATTGGAAGGCTCCATTATAATTTTTGCCACCTATAGATCTTTGATTACAGTTAAATTTAAGTACTGTAAGTATTTTGTATTTTCTGTGATCGCGGCTGAATGCGCATCGAGCTGCTGATTTTGCACTCAGGCTCTTAGGGAGCCGCACACACTACTTTGTTGTCGCTAGCGCTTGCCACTCGCCGATTACAGTTCAGAGGGCTACAGAATCATGTTGGGATTTTATTTTCGCCTTCAAACACAACCCTAGAACAAACCACTGTATATATTTTGAATAGAGAAGTTATAGGCACAAAAGTTCACAAATGTTTCCATAACCTGTCTGGGACTGAACTTTGGAGAATGATGCACCATATGCCCTCCATGGCTGCTTACACAACCTATTACTCGTTTTCTGCATTACTTTCGCCTTCGGCAAACCTTCGAGTGTGAAGATCTACTCACACGGCCATTCCAAAGGCTTCTTTAGCGAAAATTTCTTCGCTTCGTCAGATGAATTCGAGGACGGACTTGAAAGCATTCATTTGCTCAAAACACCTGTGACCAATAAATAAAAAAAACTAGCCTGCGAACAGTAGTTAATTGTGAACAAGACTGTGCAAGTTGCACTGTATCGCGAAACTACCGATCTAGAAATCCGCAACATTTAATTAGGCCATGCCTAAATTTTAACTTAGCCCAACCCCAGATTCTATTGGGCCTCACCTAAATATAAACCTGGCTCACCCATAAATTCTAAATGGTCTATTCCCGAGTTTCCGCTGCTCCACCATAGGCGTGCGCAGGGTTCTTCATTTCTCCATTAGTAGGAGGGCAAGGAAGAACAAGTTTTACGGCACACATTTCATGCTCTGCAATCCCACAGCGGGCTTCTCTGTACACAGGCTCTTAATGTGGGGAGGAAAGCTTTTAAAGTGGCTTGACGAAGATGGTTTTCTCCATCATCAATTAACTTTTGTTGTTATTACTGTAGCTTAAATTGTTGCTTATCTGTTTTAGAACTATAATCTAAATTTTAACGGTTTCACTGCGACTGAGCTCAGCGTGCCGCGAACGCCAGTTGCGCACTGAGGTTGCCCCTTAACCCGACAACTCTAGAGTACAGACTTTTGGGCTAGATTCGGTACATTCAATGAGGCCATAGCACTGAAAAGACCTGGACGACGACAGAATCCCGTCATTTTCCTTTGTTCCTCTTTTTTCAGCGCTACGGCCTTATGGCGTGTACCGTCAATCTCCTTCATGTAATACATGCTTGCTACTGCTTTTTCGCTAATTACTCCTTTCGTGCAGGTAAAATACATTGCACATTTCGCTATACAGTTTTTATCGGAGTGCTCATTAAAGTTTGCTTATAGATTAAGACCGTAGTACCGTCGATGTCGGAGTGAGTATGCATCTGATCAGAGAAAATGCACACACTGGAGGAGTGGCACAGAACTAGGAGAGAGAGCGCCGTCTTGCCCCTGCGCTGTTGAAAATGGGCGCACTAAAGTGTTGGCTGTAGAAATACGCGCAATTTTAATATTAATCACTGTTACTACTACAGTTAATTGACCACGACACCATTGCGACGCTGGAGATTTATTGTAGACAATATCGCCCTCCTGCTCTCCGCCCATCCTGTTAATTTTGCGCATGCATGCGCTGATGTATACAGTCCTTTTGCTGCGTCACTCCCATCACCTAATTGTTCTCCAAAGAGCATTACGATGATAAAGTTCGTTGGATTGGGCAAATTCACCAGCGGCTCTTGATCCTTCGGATCAGAGCGCAACTCACGCCGCGGGTCAATCTCGATATTTTGGACGCGACTTCGCCGTGTCTTTTGCGGCCGGGTGTCGCTTTTAAAAGCGCATACTGTCTTCGGGCCGATCACAAACATACTCTGGCTTGTGAACCTTTGTAACTGGGATGATATAGCCTATATATGCTCATTCATTGTCCTTATTTCAATGAAGTTGATGATGAAAGACAGCCTAGATGGTTTAAGCCAGCCGTATAACACAAAAGGTTCGCAGAAGAAAATGGATATGAACCGAAGTCTCGACCAATTATAATATCTGGGATTTAACGGCCAAAAACCATGATACGGTTATGAGAAACGCCACTGTGGAGGGCTCCAGAAATTTAGACCGTCGGCGGTTTTTCAACATGCACCAGCTGATATTGCACAGTGAATGGGCCTCTAGCATTTCGCTTCTATCAAAATCCAATCGCCGTGGCTGGGTTCAAACCCGCAACCTTCGGGCCAGCAGCCGAGTGCTTTAACTGCCGCAACACCATGGCCAGAGTCCATGGCGCACACAGTCTCGGCCACACACGAAGTAATCAATGCCCCAGCTGCAACACGGGCTCTGTGACTACATCTGCACGTGGTGAACTCTTTTTCTGAGTGCATGCTTCCGCGTTTATTCTGTCGACCTGTGTTCCAGGTTTCGTCGAAGCAAACCAGGTGTAACTTAATGATGTTCTTTGCATTTCCTCTCTGTCCGCCTCCTCCTTACATGCAGCAATAAAGTAGGCGGAAAAAAATAACTATTGTACAAAAGGTGAAAAAAAAAAAGGAAGCTCGTATCAAGTACACGAACAAATCATGATTTTATTCCTCGCTGGACAGATTTATCTTTGTTACAGTGGTACCTACTCGGTCCAGTTCGGAAAGTTATGCTACATCAGCACGAACAACTTTTTGAAAGTAACATGAATTTTAATCACCAACATTTTGATTATATGCCTTTGTGTTTGAGGTTCTGAGATCAAAAACTAGTTGCCAGTTTATTTTTTGTCGAAGCCATCATTGATTTCAAGAAGTGATCTATGTACACGTGCCCTACTACGCCATACAAACAAATTCACCTTTGTCAACAATCAGGCTCTTTTTTTTTTCACTCAAAAGGCGAAACCTCATGTACCACCACATAAGTTTTTAAAACTTATTTTGAGTAATTTCTGCAGCCAAGTGACCAAAATTTTAGCTAGAAGTTGAAATCATTGAAATTAGTGGATAGCGATATATCATTAGCTGGTATAGGTCATGTACGTGGGACCAATATAAACAATGCCATACAAAAGTCGGAGATTATGCTTGACTCCAAAGTGTGACCGAGAGATTCAGCTGTTGATAAACTTCTAAATACTTCCTCTGAGTGCATGTTAAGAAATGCGAGGTGGACAAAATCAATCCCGAGTCCTTCACTGCAGCCTACATCAATGCTTGAAGGACTGTCGTGAAAGCACACGGTATTCAGTTCGATCGCCCACGTCGACATCTTATGGCGATCGCTATACCAATACGCTGGCGAACGCGCTATTTGGGAAGTGAGGAAAAAATAAATTTAAAGCTTTTATGCTTTTAGGCCTAGTTAAATGTGGGCTGAAGCAAGTGAAAGAAAAAGGACTCTCGGAATAGATTTTCACAGCTATTTGACTCCATGTAATGGCACTTTCGTAAGTCGAACATTCCATGTAGTCTTACGAGCACGCGACATTCTGGAAAACCCACAGTGTGATATTGCAACCCTCACCCGTTAGTTTTCTTTTCCGTTTTGCGGACATTATACTTGCATAATGTTGTTTCACATTTACGTTGTGAGCCCTGTTCCAAAATGCCGGATTTCGGAGCCAGTGGTAAAAAGAGTTGTGTCTCATCGTAGAGGAATATTTTTTATTCTTGCATGGGCAACGTGGTGTATTTACGCTTCCGGAGTAGCTTCAACTGCTCAGGTTTGTCGCATTCGTAAGTATTCTCGTGTTTAAATGCATACATGGAATAATCTGCTTTACTTATTAACACGGTGACATGGTCAGTTTGTCTTAAAGTCTAAATATGCCTATCACACTTCGTGTGATAAACCTGCTTTGCTTCGTCGTGTTCGTTCATTCAGTAGAATAGAATGCAGTTTTGGTTATTTTGGCTCAATGCCTCTTCACAAGTGTTGGTATATCACGTCGCATGTTTTCTTCTTGCTTGAGCTCACCATGTGATGCGAATAGGCGCAGCAGTTCGGAGCGCAGCTTGTGCACGGTCTCCATGAGCTGAACCGATGGCCCGGGTCCTCGCTCCACAGCCGGTGACGTGGAGCTTATGCGGAGGCCGCTTTTGCTCGTGCCCTCGTCCGACTGACAGAGTGAGAGTAACCAAGGGTTAGGCATGCACACTTGCGATCCAAATGCGTTATATATATATATATATATATATATATAATATATATATATATATATATATATATATATATATATATATATATATATATATATATATATATATAAATATATATATATATATATATATATATATATATATATATATATATATATATATATATATATATATATATATATATATATATATATATATATATATATATTAAAGCAATAAACTTCATGGCGTCCTAAAAGGGTGGCATTCTTGTGCGGCTGACCTCATATTGACAGGGAGGCAGGGTAGCGTAGGTCGGTCAACTCACTAGCACTCACTACGATCGAGCCGCGAGCCTGAGTGAGTCCGGGTGAGTGATATTTTTGTGAATCCGAGTCCGAGTGAGTCAGGCTGAAAAACAGTTTCGTAAGTGTGAGTCCGAGTGCGTACAAAGCACAAAACATATTTCTTGAGGGAGTCTGAGTGAGTCACACTTTCTGTTGTCGACCTAAAGTCATATCTAGTCATTTTCAGCATTACTATAGACCTTACCTCTATTCACGTTTACACTCAGGTCTACTCACCAGTATTCTAAAACAGTGTCGTTCATATGCCGTTTTAAATATTTATTGATAAGGGGTGTGAATTACGTAGGGGGGTGCATTGACCTCCCCCCCTCCAACTATTCCAGGGCACTTCTTGATGAGTATATCTTATGCTGTCACCTATTTCAAGAAAGAAAGACGTATTGTTTGGAAGCCTACAGAACTCGTTTTCGAAGATGCTATGTCAAACGGCACCGTCAAGAAGAGCACCGATTACGAGAGATATTGTTGTAAAAGAGAATTGACACCACACTTGACAAAGATAACACTAGCCTGACGGACTCAAGAGTTCACTCATGTGGACTCACTCAGGCTATGATCAAGCCGTCAGTCTCAGTCTGAGTCTGAGCGAGTCCCTGTAATTAATGTTTTGGTGAGTGGGAGTCTGAGTGAGTCTGGCTCAGGAAAGTTTTCGTGAGTGTGAGTCCGAGTGAGTCCAAAGTTCAAAATAGATTTCATGAGTGAGTCTGAGTGAGCTCCCCAAGTTTTGTCAACCTATGCAGGGTAGTGGGGCATACATAACACAAGGGGGGAGTGAGGTAGATTTGTAGCTGGTATTTCATGGGGGACAGGGAAAATTTAATACATGCGTATAAAAATGATGGGCTTGTTTTTTGCAAAAATTTACTTTATCCATGCAGGCAGATATGCTATTTGGTAGGGCGTTCAAAGCGCTGTTTTATTGCTTGCGGAAATAATAAGACGTTTTGACCAATACTTGTAATCTAAATAAGATTTAATCGTGGAGACAGCGTGAAAGTTGACGTTTTTTTTGAAAAAGCATAAAGGCCGTCGGCTGACCATCGACAGCTGCATTGTAACTAGGGATACGCTGTTACAAGAATACTTCAGTACTTTTTTATTTTTCAGTACACTTGAAAGGGGATCTTAGGACACTGAATACAAAAAAAAAATATTTGTGTTATTTAGTGCTCACTTCTATTGGCCAGCAGGCTTCGTTAATACGGCCATCATCGAGATTGGCTAAGTTTCTGCTTACGAACTTTTCTATCGTAAGACCTTATTGTATACATATGAACCTCGGTTTAGTTAATTCTTATGTGGTTGGAATGACAATGCGGTATACAACGCGTCTTCTGCATCGTTTGTCGAGCACCTGAGTACAGTTTTAGCCACTCCACGTATGAAATAAATGCAGAATGCTCTCAAAGTAGAGTCGAATGCGCTACCACCTAGCTGCTATGCCGCTTAACGAGGGCCCTGTTACGACCGCTGCCAACAATGGCTAAGCGGCCACTGTTGGCAGCGTACGAAGCTCTATGCGTGACGGAGAGGCTGTATGAGTTATGACTAGTAAAGTAGTAATAAACGACACTGCGTCTTTTCTACTGCGCACGTTGCAGAGGAAACTGTCAAAAAAGTGTTCATAAACAAGAGACCAAAAACTAAAGGGTGGTGCACACCGGCGACTAGCAGTGGTCGCGCGACCATTTGCGAGTGGTCGCAAATAGTCGCGAACGGTCGCAAAGCGACTGCTTTGGCTAGTCGCTTCCCGACCGATTTTTTAGTCGCGCGACTGCGGTCGCAAAGCTGCTGAAACCAATCGGCGATGCTCAATTTTTGTTGTTTATTTTTTCATTGCACTGGCGAGAACAGATAAAAAGCAATGCGGCGCGCTCGGTTTCCTCCGCTCACTCAGCTGGCGGCGATCAGCTGATCGGCGCTGGTCTCCAGAGTTCTCAGTGATAACGGGATCTGGACGTGACTATCCGCTATTGTGACTTCCGGTCGCTCGCATGCTCGCATGCAGCCTCTGCCGGTGTGAACATCAGTCGCTTTTGGGTCACCGGTCGCAAATAATCGCGCGACCGCTGCTAGTCGCCGGTTTGCACCAGCCTTAAGCCATTCAGAAGCTTTGGCGGCACTCTTATCATTGGAACTGCGGGAAAAATTGCTTATAAGTTTTGATAAGGCTTATCAACAAGGCCTTACATGCAGACTTCGAACAGCCCCGAGTACACCGTCACTAGCGGAGCGCAGGGTCCGTAGTGACCTGGGAGGCTTGATGGCACCACGGCCAGCGGAAGCCAGCTCACACATAAGGAGTTCCCTGCGAAGCTGGCAAACTTGGCTCGAGCGTTCCGCCACAGCGGCCTCCAGGAGCTGCGCCTGCATATTAACAAATTGACTTGAGGGCAGCGCAGAGCACGAGGCCGACAGGTCAACGCCGGTGCTATCATGTTTTAGAAATTTAAAAGGAGCATAACGTGCACTTGTATACTAAGTCAGATGGAAATAGGGAATTTTATGCCTGTTTGTCGGGCTAAGCTGCATGATTCAAGAAACTTTCCCCGTGTTTCTTACATTTATAGACTACTTGTAAACATGCGTAATTGAAATTGGCTGCATGTGAGGGCTACTCTGTGTGTAATCGGATTCAAATGCGTGTGATAGCAGGTGCGCACACGTATTTGCACTGACTTCTACATATACCCGTAAAGAACAAGCATCATGACAAGCATCAAATGCGTATACAAAATAAGTTTGCGCTTCTGTTGGCCCAGGAGCTTTGTATATATAGAAAATTAGTGGCGGTCCTTCTGTCCACGGTCTATAAATTGCGACACAAAACACAACCTCCTCACAAGCCATGGAAAAGCAAGAAAACCCGTTACCCCATGTGTGTAGATCTCCACTCCTATTTTAAGTGCGAAGCAGCTCTTTGACTAGTCTGTGTAACGCTGTCCCTCTATGCGCCCGTCTGAACGCGCCGCAACGCGTTCCCCTCGCCGCAAGTGTTGGGGCGGTGCCAAGTGACGCCGTAGCTGTGCGCTGACGTCATACTCCCCTCGCAGTGCGCGCTGGCACTCGCCGCAGTGCCCGCAGCTACCGCTTCGCCTGTTCGCCAGCAACACCTGCCGCTACCACCGCTCGCTCCGATACCGCGACCACCACTCGCGAATCTTCCAGCGCTCATCGCAGCACCCACGTTAGCGCTGTTCAGCCTGTGACGCCACCCATGCGCAACGCTGCTGCTTCGCATCCCATCAGGGTTCCCCTTTGAGAAGATGGTGTGAATTTTTCTTTTTTTATGCTTTCCTAGTCCTCAGGTGCTGTAGAAATGACTGATAAGAATGATCACACTTTGTTGAGTGCGAGAATAATTATCCAAATTTCTAGCTCTACCTCTCTTGTGGCAGAGCTGGACGCTGGTGAACACCGCTTACATTGAATGATTGCTTTTAGGGCTTAAACAAAATAAAATCCGTGCAGGTGTGTATTTCATAGTATTTTATGGCCTACTGATTGTGTGCTGCTGCTCATTAACTTGAATTCAGACACCTATTCTGGTTAGTTCTATTTTTGTCGCCAAAATGTATACTTTTTTGCGTACGTTTACTTTTAATCTGCACCTGTTAGATGCATGCATGTGCAGGATAGCCACCTCCAATGTACACAAAAAAAAGTTGCCCCTGCCACCCCGAAGGGAATCATGAGAAAATGCCAAGGCATTTCTTGCGCCGATAGACACGGCGTAGTAATTTTAATGGCGTAAATTGATGACGAGACGAGGATTTCTACTATAACCATTCATTTACGCATTCATCAGCACATGTTTGTGTTTTCATTGTACCTGACAGCCATAATCTCAGCCTTGTGGTCGCTAAAGTGTACAGTCAACCACCGCTGAAACCTGGGAGCACGACTCCGGTTGCAACTGAGACTACTAGGAGCACCGATGGTTTGACGTGAGTACATGCACCGCCTGGAGGCTCGCTAGACGGGAGCCCTCACATCTTCGGCTCATTACTGACTCGCCCTTCATGACGATGGCCCGATATGCACAAGATCATGAAGAACGACAGCCCGACAAGTGACGGATATTCGTTGTGCGAACAAAATGTAGAGAAAAGGACGAGCCGCCGTACCCATCACAAAGCCCACCCGTTCACCTCTTTTTTATTCCGAACAGTAATCTGATCCCCAATGATGATAATGTTGCTCCTCGTCTTCTACACAATTTTCAACATCCTCCGCGCCCCCACAGTGGCGCTTGACGACAAAGAAAACTCAACGCTCTAATGAGTTCCGAGTACAAAATGTTCGTCAGTATTAGTAAGAGTTCCACGTCAGTCCTAGTAAAGTGTCATCCGAGTCTCCTTCTGCACTTGATCTCCCAGTGGTGTTATCGGCGCTTGTGCCACATTCATGCTATTGAGTGCGTTGACATCATTGCACCTGTGTTCTTGCTAGGCACGTTTCCTTGACATGAAAGCTCGCAGATAAGACTCTTCCAGCAGGGTCTCATGAAGCTATCTATGAGGAACGTTTTCTTGGCTTTCTCTTGCTTGCTGCATTTACCTTGCAGGCCTCAGCCTTCTTGCTCCACCTTCGTCTGGTCCGTCTCATTTCACCACTGTGACACGGCGCGTGTATTTCGCAAATTCTCTGACATAATATGTGCCATACACATTCATTTGAATATTGGTATCTGCAGCTTTCTCGAAGAGCTGAAGCTTTCATTAATGCAAGAGTTTTGCTTTTGTGTCATGATCTTTCCTTCCTTTCTTCTGTTTCTTCTCGCTTTGTGAGTTGGCTTTCCTTTTACTCCGTCAGGCACTTAAACGAAATGTGATGAAGGCTTTGTAATATCAGAGTCTGCCAGCTTTCGCTTGGACGCAATAATAATATCTCATGAATGGCCTTTTAGATCTACAAAGTCTTCCTCCTTCTCAATCATGGGAATGCTTTCAACCTCGAACACGGCAGTTGTTGTAGACATCTTGTGAATAGATTGATGGGTGCAGCACGTTGATGAAATCTCTAACGGCGTAGAAGAGGCCTTATCTGTAGTTGAAGTTCTAGCTTATGCTTCCATTTTGCCCCTCGATTTGTCCTGTGGTACACTCATCCAAGTTCTTTGGGACAAGATGGCCGTTGAACACGTAATTGTTAGATTGCGGTGACATTGTCGGAGAGAGTACTTTCTTCTGTGCCTCCGTTTTTATACGTTGTCGTATTAACTCTAGGTGCGTCTGCCGAGCGTTTAGTATATCTGCGGTCTTATATTCTGCTGACTCTTGCTAGAATAATCTTGTGCTCGTAAATGTCAGCTTCCTCTATCTCTGTTTCCAAATGATCGATGTCAACGGTGTTTTCAATCTCCTCACCAATTCCTCTGAGAAGCTCGTACTGTTCAGTCAAAATTTGGTGAAACGTTTTCAACTCTTATATTGACAGGTGGTCCATATATGCCGAAGGTGTTCGATATCTGCGATGACCTGTGTGACGGCCTTGCGTGTTTGACTCCACCTTTAGTAGATGCCTTCATGATCCGGTTCAGTGTCGGAAACGGGACAAATCACTGGCCGGCCGTGCCACGAGGTGAAGTCAGAGTCAACACGGCATCCATCGCAGAAGGTTCGCACAGCGAAGATGCGGGAATCATCGAGATGTCATCTTTCACGATATGAATCACTGGTAGGATTGGGCTTGGCACGTCAGCTTTACCCATGGCGGCTTTACAAAAGCCCTTGAGGCTACGACTGCAGTCGAATTTCATTGAGTCCGCTCCATCTTACCTCCGATGGTCCCTCCTCTCTGGTGTCGGCACCAAAATGTAGAGAAAAGGACCACAATGTAGAGAAAAGGACGAGCCACCATGCCCATCGCGAAGCCCACTCGTTCACCTCTTCTTTATTCAGAACAGTAATCTAATCTCCAATGATAATAATGTTGCTCCTCGTCTTCTACACAATTTCATCAGGGTCTTTGAGAAGCATGCGCACGTCACAGTTTTGGGTAAAGGCGAGGTCCATGCAACTACCGTGAATGGTAGTCGGACACTTGTCGGACTCGGTGAAGGCACACTGCATAGAGTACTTTGCCCGCATGTACTCCACCAACTACCCGCCACAATGCCAGCGTCTTATCAACACAAACGCTACATAAACGCTACAAACGCGTTTCAAGCGCACTGCATTGAGGCGGTGACAAGTCACGTTCAAGTCAAGGAGGTGGTTGCAAGGGGTGATGATAAGCGCGCGCGCCCGCAGCTGTTGGTGGCAGCTGCCGACGCCGAAGCGTAACGTGGGGGGGGGGGGCTTCAGTTGCTTAAGGGGGGCACGCGCCCGCAGTTGTTGCTATAGGAGAGGGCGGTGGATAGAGCCAGACGGACGCCTGACATAGTCCGACTAAGTAATGCATTCGCATTTAAAGCAATGACTTGGGCGAAGTTACACGCCCCGAGAAAGGTGTCTCCAACTTGGCTTGTTGAGGTTCTAGTCATCACGTGGCGGTGTTAAGCATAGTACTAGCACCAAGATGCCAGATGTACGATAAACTGGCCCCGGGTCTCGCGACGACGGGGCTTCCTTAAAATCATCCGCAGCTTTGAAGAGTAGCCGAATATGATATGCATGAGCATGGAACAGCATTGAAAATGTATACAATATAAGCCACCTTTGTTTCCCTTGAGTGTTAAGCTTTACGACTATAGAAAATCAATGACTGTTCTTCCTAGCGCCGAACTTTCTTGTTTTATTGCGATAACAATAGTATGGATAGTCTTGGTTGTTTTTTTTTATGTCACGCGCACCTCGTGACTACGAACACTATTTTTTTTTTATTCGGATACGGGGCTTTTTCAGGGTGATCGCAGGGACACGTGTAAACAAGTAGCGAGCTCCCGCGGCGATCCTTGTAACGAACGAGTGCGCCAATTTCAATTCAGCTAATGGCTGATAGATGGCCTTTTACGAATGATTTTTGAGTTTCTACGGTCATTTGTTCGAAAAAAAAGCAATTTTCAGCCGACTTCGATAATTTATTGTGAATTCCAGGCCACGGGCTGCGCTATGATTTTTGGCTGACGCGTTCTCGGTAGCCTATACTACCGATCGGCAGCGTTTTCTGACAATACTGAGAAATTGTTGCAGGACCCCTTTAAAAAAATGACCTGCTACAGTCCCGAAGCTTCTAGAACCATGCAGGCCAGGTTTGCGCTGAACATTACTTAGAGTATACGGGGCAATAACGAAACTTGAGGAATAAATATGGCAGTCTATATATCTGGTAAAAAATCTGGAATGACGGTCAAGAATAGAAAGATCCGTATTTCTAACGGTCATGGCTGCCGCGCAAGCGACTTCAAAGCTCTCCCTGTGTCCTGTAGCCACATGGAGCCATCCGCGCACACGCTTGGCTGGGCGCCAGGAAAGACGCTTCCGCCGTTGTCACAATCATGCTGCTCGTCGCCCACGTGATGGCTGTTTTCTCCCGCCACTGTGGAGGCGGCTACCGACGGGTGTGGGGGATCACCCGACGCATTCCGCGCGCGTTCCCGGCATGCTCGGAAAGAAGATCGTGCATACCGACTGTAGAAGCTGCTCGGAGAGCTGTTGAATGCGCGCCAAGCCGTCTGCATCGAGCCGCATCAAAGACGTCCTCCGGCCTGAAATAGAAACACAACAGTTGGCCACGCCACCCGCCTTGCCGTCGCGTGCGCCGAGCTACTCTCGGCGCGGGGCAGACGAGACACTATTTTTTTTCACCGCTCCTCACTCGTTGTGCTGTCACCATCACTTGCCCGAGGCGGTGATTAGATAGCTTAGGAAGCATTGCTCATTTAGCTCAATATGTATGTTTCTCCGCGTGAAAATAAGCAATATTGGCACTCCTCACTTACACATTGCATGATTACTGCTTGTTACCACCTTTGCTACACGGAATAACACAGGTTTGACAAACACAGGAAAATGAATGAGGGAACCATTGTAGCCCTTTTCTTTTATGAACAGAACAGTTACCCAAAGAGTGTTTCTCGTTGATAAAGTGAAGCTTTGGGCTAGTTGGTTTTGCATGATGAAGTACGAACAGCACGATATTTTACACGGGGACACAAAAGAGGAGACAGAAACAAGCGCTGTTACAAGCAACTGAATTTTTATTTAACACGAAAGGAAAATAAATAGTACGAAAAATTATGGGAAAATATAAAGCGTGAGAAGATTATAGTCGATCTATTTTGTGATGCTTTGAAACAGAATAATTTGCGCTTCAATTTTCTTGACGGTCATGCATTGTAGAAGCACATTTAGAAGGGGGCGTTCTAAAATGGCAGCGATGTGCTCTCTCTTCGGTCAAGGATTTCATTTTTAAAATTGTTTTACCGTGCTGAGCTATAGCAGAACTTTCTAGCAGAATGCGTAGATGTATCAGCGGCGGAAATGTTCTATCACGCGCAAGCGCGGTTGTGCAAGAGCCTGCACACACGGCGCTTCGAAGTCACCCATCGGGGCAGGTGGTCATGTATCCCTGACTATACGGTGAAGTGATCTAATGATTGATTTCGTTTGAAATAACGTCTTATGTTCATAGTTCTCACTGTGTGAATTTCCGAAGTTTGAGGGTAAGAAAGCTCACTAGCTGTGCATACATTCTGTGCCAATAGGACACGCTGCGGATTACTGCAATCCATCAACTTATTCAAAAGAAATCCAATATCTCCTTACAGTGAGGTATAGAACCATCATAATATCGCTACTAACTAAACAGGTTAACTGAGCAGTAATTTTACAATTTTACCTTAAGTGAACGGGGCCGGCATCACAGGACAAAACACCCGCTGATACACCTGCACACGTGCGCGCCCGTTTTAACTTTCATTTTTAGAGATGCAACGTCCGCAAGCGTGGAGGTCATGATGAATTTCACTCTATAATCACGAAGGAGCACAAGTTACACAGCGAAACATAGACATTTCATTTCTCTTCCTTTCTTTTTCATACCAGGGACCAGCATTTTGAGTGCCGGTGCATGAGCCATGAAGCGTGTCAAATAACTTCGTTCTGAACGTTCAGGAACCGTTTGACTTGAAAATTACCGCCCTGGCCACACCTTGCGGCAATATCTACGCACACCGGCTTCTTACGTGATCAAAAAGGAAGAAACAAAGTGTGTATTCTGATGAGAAAAGGTAATTATACCAATGTTCGCAGAACGGCAGCGCCGTAACTATTGTACATCCGTAACTATTGCGAGGCACACCTGCGTAACACGCATAACTCTTCGCAAAATTCTCGTCACCTTTTGTATTGTCTTCTGTATTTTTCATGAGAATACTGTAGTATTTTGTCACCTGTTTTATCATTTGTAACCTGTATGGATCAGTGGAATCGGCAGCACGTCCATAGCTTATGGCGTACAATGGCGCCATTATAGCTGTTTAAGAAGCTGAGATAGCAGTTATGGCCTTGCAAGCGGGTTTGCCGCTTTTTTTAGATGCGGAGCATCTTATACTCGCGCCTTGTAGTGCGCCGTCCGCGCCGTCCGCACCGCTTCTCGAACATTCGACAGCTGACGCGCGCGCATGCGCCGTCGCGCCGTCGCCCACTCTTCCACCATCTGTGCATCCCTTCCACCTCTACACACCGCGCGCGCTTCACTCCTCCACCCTCTGTGCACCCTTCCTCCTCTACACACCGCGTTCGACATCTACAATTCTCCTGATTCTCCAGTGGACGCGCATGTGGCGTCGCGCTTCGAGAACATTCAACAGCTGACAGTGTATGCGCCGTCGTGCTGTATATATACTCAAGGTCGGCGCTCGCTCGCTCAGTTGCCGCTCGTCGGTTGGTTTGTACGGCGCGTCGACGTCCAAAGTCGCGGTGAAATGAATTCCAACGAATCCACAAACACAATGATCGACGTCCCTTCGACCAGCGCCGCCCTTTCGCATACGTGTGTACGTGTTCACTCATTTAACACCCCCTCCTACAACCACGTTAACCAATTTAGCCATCGACCCAAGTAAGTCACAATTTAACACCCCATTTCACAACCACGTTAACCAATTTAGCCATCGACCCAAGTAAGTCGCACTTTAACACCCCGTTAACCAATTATATGCTCCGCATCCTCCTCAGTGTTCCCCCGAGGGAAGCTGCGGGCAATTTTTTTTTCACTACGCTTTCATCAGATCATAAAGAGGAGAGCCTTCTATATGTTAATTTACGTGTTTCACAGTGAGGATAAAAAAAATATGTTTTTTAATTCTGATGCCTGCTTCACCTCGTGCAAGCGTGAAAATAATTTCTCGTTGCGCTCCAGAAAATAGAAGCTATCTTTTATTTAAACATTTATTACGACCGTGTCAATGCTATTGAAAGTTAAGGATGCGATTCACATTCGAGCAGTTAGATAACTTAGCAAGCTACCCACCGTCCGCGTCACTGTTGTGAATGTCTGTGTTGAGTGCTTGAAGTTCTTTGACCTTGTCGACGATGTCCCATATTAGAGCCGCCTGCTCCTGGCTGTGCGTGCGGATGGTTTCCTGCAGGTAAAAGCATTGGGATAGGGTAATTGATATTTTTTATGTACCGTTACATAACGTAATTTTCACGCGTCGTCGATATTTCGACGTTATGGCTGCGCTGTAAACACACGCGAAAAATAATCGAGGCCTGACGATTACATAGCGGTCGAGTCAGCGTATACTACTTTCCAAATGAGAAGTGCTATTCAATAAGAAGGTAGTTTATTATTAGCTCGAGACGAGGAAGCAATAAACAACAATGAAGTCTCGATATCATAGAAGTTGTTTTGGAAACTAAAGGAAAAAAAAGAAAGCATGAGTACACATGAACAACGACTTTCTGCAATAAGAGAAAGAATGACAAAACTGAGTTTTTCAAAGGGAATCAACACTATGTTATTAATGACAATCTGAAGAGCAGATATAAAGTGACCGTGGGTAGAGAACCTTATAAAAGTGGGACCAAGTTGTAATTCTTGTGAAAGCATTATTACTGACTAAGTTTCCCGAACAGCTTTTATTTCGGTGAAAATGGATAAATAAAAAAATACGGTGGATCCTGATGTACAATTTTTTTTATGAATGTTTCCAGGATAGGATGCGAAAATAATGGGCACGTTAAAGTGACATAAGCGGGATTGATATAAAAGAGTGATCCATACCTCCAGAAAGGTTCCCTAAAGAACATTTGTTAATGATTTGGTCATTGTTGGGGTTCGAAGTTTCAACACCAAGATATGATTACGAGAGACGCCCCAGTGGAAGGCTCTGGAAATTTCGACCACCTGGGGCGCTTGAACGTGCACCTAAATCTAAGTGAAGGAGCCTCAAGCATTTTCGCCTCGACTGAAAATGCAGCCGCCACGATGGGGATTCGATTCCGCGGCCTTCAGCAGTCGAACACCATAACTACTAGACCGCCACGGCGGATCGACGAGTCTTGAACCGAGCCAGCTTGAGATGGTCGGAACTTTGCGCTCCGCTTGTAAGCTCTACGTGCCGCGCACGACTACAAAGTTTCGCTGAGATTCTCAGGGCAGCGTTTGTTGTTGCTAGATTATGTTTTTCATCATGCCCGGGGGGTGGTTCAGGACACGTTTAAAGGTTCCATACTTCCCCGAACATCTATATTGTTCAAATATCATGTGCTGTCGGACCACCTTGCTGTTTTGGTTCTCCCCCGTCTTATCTTGCCGCCGTTTCCAGTCTATATGTATGTGGATCCCACGGTACGATAGAAAGAACTATCACATCGCTGATGTCGGTGACAGGTAAGATTCTCACGTCTCTATGCTCACGGCTTCTGTCCAACTATGTGTTCTGCTGGCTGCAGAAAAAAAACTTTCAACTGCAAGTGAGCGTTTTTGTCGTCTTCTCCAGTTAGTTTTCTCAATATTCCATGTACCCAGTTGTGAATTTCGCAAAAAAAAAAGGTCAAAACAACCACATTATTATTTGTCAAACTACATACTGTGCAACGTGTACGATAGACTTATAGCCAGCCGTAACAACAATTCAGTATAGAAGTAATAGAGGAAGTTCTTCAGATGGTGAGGTGTTGCTACACTTAGTGGTTTGGTTAGAATATGGGGTATAACGTTCCAAAGCAACTCAGACTATCAGAGAAGCCGTAGTGGACTGCTCCGAATAACTTAGACACTGACATGATTTGGCCGCAAATAATATACACACAGAGTAAAAAAAAAACACTCAACGACAAGCACAAGCGGCTCTTTGAGTGTTTCTTTACTCTGTGTGTGTATTATTTGCGGCCAAATCATGTCAATAAGCAAGTACCAACTAGGCCAACAATCAGTATGGTTACAACTCAGACACCCTGGGATTTTTTTTTTCAAATGAACTGGTATGGCACAGTACGTAGGCATCTAGCATTTTGCCTCCACCAAAATGCGACTGCCGTGGCTGGAGTCGAAGCCACGCGTCTTTCAGAGCAGCAGCCGAGCGCCACAACTGCTAAGCCACTTGGACAGTGCTGATAAAATCATGCAGAAAAAAAGATTATCATTCGTAACCATGCACATATGCCTTGTTAATGACGCATCCCACCATTTTCATGAGGGATTTATTTTGGTCGGTGCTACCTGTCGAAGACTTCGGTGCCTTACTTGCCTGTAACGCTTTTCGCTCTTCTTGAAGGCGGTAGTTGCACCTCTCGAGGTCCTCCAACCGGTAGCGGAAGTCTGCAACAGCCTTCACGGATGCCAAGGAGCCTTTTTGGGCACCCGCTGGCCGGTGTGCATTCCACAGACTCTCCCGGTAGCGTTCTATTTTGCGATTGAGAGAAGTTTTGCATTGGACATGTTCCCATTGGCAGACATTTACGGCATATCTTTCACAATCTCACAAAGTAAATACAGCGCACTGGTAACCACGAGGTACCCAGCCATGAGCTCCCTCAGTTCTCTTTAGAAAGCTAATTAAAATTTATTAAACTTTAGTGTATTGCTCACATCGTGAATAATTTTTCTTTTGTGAAATAGCCACTATTAAGCTAAACTTGCGCCTAAAGCTACCTTATCTAATTCAATATTTTGCGACTGAACAGCATAACTTTTGAATAAATATATGCTTTAAGTCTCATAAAATTAGACTTGCGCGAATTACCTGTCAATTTAGGCCGCGTATGTAACTAGGCGAGTTCATCGCTCTTCTGTGAGCCATGAATTTTTGTCTGACTGCCAATTGTCTGGATGTCCAATCCTACGCCATTTTACAAATGCATACCTTATCTTTTTGCAGTTGTTTTTAGCAGTAACATCGTCGATGATTTTGTTACTAAAATTTTTTACTTGCGCGTTTTTATAGCGGGAATGTATCATGTAGAATTTGAACGTCTTGTTATCAATTTGACTGTGTGATTTTAAGGATATGTGATTTTTGTTAACAATTATTAGTTTTCATATACCCTTCCTGCTTTAATCGGTGATGAGATTGTCAGTATCATTAAACACACACACACACACACACACACACACACACACACACACACACACACACACACACACACACACACACACACACACACACACACACACACACACACACACACACACACACACACACACATATATATATATATATATATATATATATATATATATATATATATATATATATATATATATATATATATATACACTTTGAAAATGTGCGTTTTATTTACCGAATACACTTTTATGAGGGAAACACTATTGATCTTTGTCCTGTCGTCTGTCCTGTAGTGTCGTTCTGCGCTAAAAAGGCAACACGTTTTTGCACCAACCAACCCGCCAACGCATTGAGGGGAACTGTTGGTCTGAGTTGGTGTGCGAAATGAAATAAAACTCAGAATTTGCCTAGTACCACTTCATTTGAAAAAGAAGGTAAAATATTTCACTTGCACGTTGGAGTAGCGGCGAGAGGGTTGTACAGTTATTCTGACATTTTTTGCGACTTTCAAAACGTAGTCGGAAAGTCTCGCACCAATTTCCGCGTGCTGTAACAAATATCTTACGGCGCTTTAGGGCAGATTAATGTTTGCTTTAATGTTGACATTGAAAATTGTCGCTGCACATCATCATTTTCATCGAACTGTGCGACAGAATTGACGTCGTAAAACTCCTTACTGCACTTTCGCGAAGAGTTCATTCGCTGACCGCCGCTATCATGGCTTTCCTTTTCCTCTATTCTGTACTCCGTCGAATTCTGAGGTAGCCAATTAGATATTATTTTCCACAAACATCCCGTCTTTCATTTTCTTGTTTCTACCTCCCTCTTCGATCATTTTTATGGGTCTAGTGCTAGCACTAATGTGGAAAAAGAAGACTCAGCGTCTCTTCATCAAACATCAATGACACCTGGAATTCTGTGAAAAGCTTACCATTGAAAGGATCGCTAGTGTCTATAGCATGTTTTATAAACAAAAAAGACAAACAAATGTTGAGCGTTCCTTTACTTACCAATTTCTTCTCTGTGTCTAGAGGCCATCAATTCCAGACGCTCATCAAGTCGTTCAAGATTGGCTTCTAGGCGTGCGCAGACATTTTCTTTGGCTCTTAGCTGTTCTAGCAGAAGCATGTTTTCCTCCAGAAGCGTATAATAACTCTCCTCTGCATGCTTCGTCTCACTTGCCCCTTGGGAAGGCTTCGAGTCGAATTGATCGTCAATTTCTCCAGAACCGCTGTCAATAAGCCATGTCACTCCTGGATGCGCAAAACTCGCCTCACCAGATCCAACACTGACGGTTCGGGGTCTGGAGGCGGCACAGCCATTTTTGTTACTAGAGCTGCACAGTTCCGGTTCAGAGTTTGCGCGAGAGCGGGAAATCTCTTTTTTTTCTTCGGGTACCAAAAGAGTATCAGGCTTCATTGAAGGCAAAGAGCTTGTTGAAGCTCGTGACTGCAGTATATTGTTGGGCTCAGCCACACTAGAGTCCGATTTCGAAAGGACGCGAACATTACTAGTTGCCGATTTGTCTCCGTTCCGGCCCGTCGTCTGCAGACTGGCGTCAAGCAAAGCTATGGTGGAGAATTCGGGAACGACGCCCTTCTTGGTTTCCCACTCATACAACTTTTTGGTAAAAGCGTTCGAAATCCCCTCGAATCGAAATTCTCCAGCAGATGTTCGCACAAGCACCTCATTGCTGCTTGCCGGTGCATTCAGGAGTGCCTGTCGAAGCCTGTGTAAGCGGACTGAGCGCTCCTGAAATTTGTGCGTTTCTCGAGAGAGTCGCTCCTTCTCGCGTTCCATTTTTTGCAGCTCGCGGTTCACCCAGGTAAGGTCCTTTTTCTTGTCCGGGCGTGGTCCCTTGGTTTTATCTCGCGGGGTGCCTTTGCTAGCTGCCACAGCAGGACGGTGGGGAGCAGAGAGCTTGCGGAGAGGCCTCGGGCTTCTGCCAGACTTCGCAGCTTTCATTCTTTCCCATTCTAGTATCTTCTGGTTGAAGTCCTCGCTAAGGTTTCGTTGAAGCTCTTGAACCAGATTTGACACAGGTGCCGTGGACGAGTGACACAACGACGCCGCATTGCTCAAGGACGGCTCGGAAGCGTCTTCAGAGCGTCGAGGAGCTGACCGTTCACCTGTTTCAAATTAAACAAAACAAAATGGTGAATTGAGGACGTGGCAATGAGTTATAGAAGATATTGTTTGGAAGATATGAAATAGATGTGACTTCCTATACTATATACTTCCTGAAGGTACTTTTATCGCAATTCAAGACTATAACTATTGCCCCTAGCGTTTCTGGCACAAGTAATTATCACATAGCAAACGAAAATTGCGTAGTAATATTCATGTGATACATAAAATAAAGATTAATAAGCACGATATAGAACTTAAAAAGGGCAAACAATTTCTCCTTATTGGCAGAGCAATGACTCGCATGCGTGTAACGCCGTCACTATTAGATAATATGTTTTGTAATGAACGCACGTTAAGCAGATGTATACTGAAGATCGCCATGAGTGGCTTACCTTCACCTGCACCTAAGTCGTCGAAATCGAAGACCAATGTTGTAGACAGGGGACTAGATGGGTTAGAGGCACCGGGTGGTTCGTCCTCCTTTTTATCCTGAGTAGCCCCTGAGAAGACCTTCTTTACGCGGTTCCAGCGAGACTTTCGCTGCGACTGAGGTGATTGTGGAGATGGCACATTGCATCTCTCTGAAGCAGCGAGGGTGAGTTTTGATACCTCGTGCTCGGAAGGGCATGAAACTTGCTGCTGAAGCCTCAACTTTCGGTTAGTCTCGCTATCGACCTCAAGGTGATTAGCTATACATTGTATATGAGATTGTGATTTCGAGTGTTCAGTTGGCAAGAACTGCAGATCATCCGAAGCTCTTGAGTTCCTCGATGACGAACCGAGTTGGTCAGAGACCTTACGTCTTCGGACTTCTCTTCCTCGCGATGTTGAACTGTCTTCTGGATCACTGGGGGCGCCACTGTTTGTAAGGTCCGAGCCGACCCTCAAGTCGGTCCGAGGTTGCGTCGGTAAAGCGCCATGCTTGGCTGTCCGCGAAGGTGGCTGTCTCTTGACGGTCTCGCGCCCAGTCTGAATTAAGTTTTTCACTCTGCCCCATGTGCTTTTGGGAACTTTTTTGCAGAGTTCTCTTGATCCGTATGAGTCACCAACGTCCGGGTACAATGAATCCGAGTCTACGAAGGAAAACAAAGAAGTACGCATTGATCGGTGCGATGCATGGGACACTTCTCAAAATAAAATGCTCAGACAGGACAGGGCGTTTACCAGTGAAAATGGCAGATTACGAACAAAATATTTGTTAATTTTGCCCTATTAAGTGACAGGGAATGGCAGCGATACGTTTCAGAAAGCCAGGGCATAGTGTTTTAGTTGTGGAGAATTTCTTAGTCGCACGAGGTCGCGGATACGGCGTCGGTGGCGCCGTCCACACCCCCACTGCGCATGCTCGCGTCTCGTGCCAACTGTCGCTCCCCATCTCTCGCCCAGGAAGGCTGATGCAGGCCGCGTATGCTAGTAAAAAACCGACTGGCACTACCGTTGACTGGCCACCCCGTATTTGTAGACACTGAATCGCGCGTTTGGAATTTAGTCCAGGGCGTATTTACTTGGCTTTTGCTTGATTTGATACTTTACTTGACTCGAGTAGATGTCATGGAAGCAACAGTACCTTCAACCAATAGTGGGGCAGAACCCAACATCAGCGTCCCACCACTCGTTGAAGGCGACGCTTCGCCAATAAAAAAGAATAATGAAGAAGAAATAACAATTAAGCATTCCCAAACCATATCCAATGACGCAGCATTCACGTGATACCTCCACCACTCTGCGATGCATTTACTCAAGTTCCCCCATGGAAAGAGGCGGGTGCCTTTTTTGTTCGAAGTTTACATAATCGATGACCTTGTTGGCCAACAATATTTTCGGAGCGACTATATACACTTCAGCATTTTATGGTGTGCAGATGTAAAGCAGATGGCCCCACTGTGGTGATTTAGTGGCTAAGGTGCTCGGCTGGTGACCCGCAGGTCGTGGGATTGAATCCCGGCTGCAGCAGCTTTATTTTCGATGGAGGCGAAAATGCTGTAAGCCCGTGTGCTCAGATTTGGATGCATGTTAAAGGACCCCAGGTGGTCGAAATTTCCGGAGCCATCTATTATGTCGTCTTTTATAATTATATGGTGGTGTGGGGACGTTAAACCCCACATATCCATCAATCAATGTAAAGCAGATGTATTCATTAAAAGTTCCCACTTCCGTTGTTTTCCTTCATTCGAAAATGTCTGTTCCTTTATTCCTTCAGGGCATATGAATGCAAATTTTACTGTTTTTTCCGCAAGTCTTGCCAAAGTCAGAATTTCCAAAAGCGAGTAATATTCATGGAGATTATTGGAATAAGCATTTGGTATACATAGCGGAAGCTCATTTTGTGTGTACACCTTGACCTTACTTGTTTTATGGTAAACTTATTCCATGTCGCTGTGACCAGACCTCGGGTCAATTGATAATATATCTATATGACTGAACTTCATGTGTGACGTGATTAGTTAATATGGATACTTGTGTCCATGCAACGACATTTTATGTGAAATCTGGTGTTATGTCTGTGGACTGAATTTTGTGTAGCCATGCTCGTAGATTACATGTTGATGTGAATTTTTTATGGCTTGATTGACTTGTATCAGCTATTTGTAGGTGTATTTCCATGTAGTTTTTTTGTTTTTCATACATGTTATTTTCAATAATATTGTGATCTGTGAAAAGGAGTAGCCTGTGCTATATAAAACCGCAGACATTTGCTAAGCAACATATCACTATAGCTAAACAATTACAGTGGGCGTCGCTTGCTTACAGAACACAGACCAAACCTTGAAACCACCTTAAACATGCATTTGCCTTGGATACGCGTGAACCACAGTCTTTGGACTTTGAGACCGACTTCAAAAAGCTTTTTTCTTGTAATTCCTCGTTTCCATTGTCACAAAAGTTTCTCTAATATGTCGAATATCATGACTGCTTTAAAACTTATATTCCGCATAGGTATGCCGAAATAAGGTTTTCGTAAAATTTGGTTTTGCCACGCCTGTAGGGCTAACCATATCAGGCACGAAGGGGACGTTCACCGCAGCCAGATACTAATTGTCATGCTAGTCGTCTGTACAGACCCGACAGGTGACAGGTGCAACTTATTTTAAAGCGCTGAAGCGCTCTGTCACTGCCTTTGTGCTGTGCGCCGTCGGCCACTTGTACGAGATGACCTCGCTGTAAGTATGCCTCACCAAGTGGACCGATCACCCATAATCTGGATAGTCACTGTCCAATTATTGAATTATTGAATTAATTGATAAATTGAATGATAAGTTGATCAATTATTGGTTTGTTTCAGTACGAAATGGACACTGCGGTGAGCGCAAACAGCCCTCCACTACGGCGTCTCTCATAATCATATGGTGGTTTTGGGACGTTGAACCCCACATATCAATCAATCATGTGAGTGCAAACAAGAAAGCCTTGTGCAGGATTGATGAAATCTGTGCCCTCACACATGGCTAGCACTAACTCCTTTTATCAATGAGACCGCTATACGACACGTGGGTGCCAGCAGACCCGGAGACGAAAAGGCAGTGACCTGCATTATCGCATCGCATGACTAATGGCTCACTGCACTGGATGACTTCATTGCAGATAGAACAGCGCGATTAGCGGCGGCACGCCAGTAAGACGCCGCTTGCAAAGAAGAAGTCTGCGAAGTTGAGTTGTTTCTTTTTTCTCATGGTTGAAGTTCCTGAAAAGTAAACCTTATCGCACGCCATGATCAGGACCCTGTATTGCCACGAAATTGAAATATGTTATGCCAGAGTATAGTGCTGGTTAACGGGCTAAAGCTGCATACGACAAGAAGCACGTCATTTGGGACTGATGCTCTACATATTGACACGCGTGCTTGGTTTTTAAGTTTCAGTGTGAGTGGGTTTGCACAGCTAGAACTGTTATGGTGCGAGGTTATCTAACGTGCGCACAATTATAAGTAAATGGGTGTTCTTGCGATTGCCACATCAAAATGGAGCCGCCATGACCTGCAACCAAACCCGTTTTTTTTTGCGCCTAGCTACGTGGCACCTGAACTGCTAATACAGCTTGGCGGGTAATATATTGGCACATTCTATTTCTTCACTGAACCAGTTCAAATGCCTTTCATTTCACGTCACGCGTTAGGAGACAGAGGCTTGGGGACACTTGGAGTATAGCCTATGTCATTGTTACCTACTTCGTAACACTTGCTGCGCAATAATTAATTTAAACATCCTTAAATATTCACAAATGCTGTTTAAACAAATGTCAAGTGAACTAGCTTGTTATTAAATTTCAAAAGTACAGCGCAAACGTTCCGATGTAGGAAAAAATGTGAATGATAATTTCTGCATTGATGTTTGTATACCGCTGACTACTATTGTTCACAGCTCGTATGCGAAAAACAGGGTGCCGGCAAGTGTATAGAAATGTTGCCCTCAGAGGTGCTCGGGTCAATGCTTACTTGTACGCGCAGTTATTCAATAATCGATGCTCTCTCGGTTGTGGGCTGGTCGGCAATCAGCCGTTTATGATAGTGTAATCTGTTCTTTTATTGAGTTAACTTGTCATTTCACATTGCCACGTTTCATTTTTTCTAGTCTTTATTTCACGCATGACCGTGGTCGTTGCGTGTAGCGACAGAAGTGTCACGCTGTTACACACGTGGGCGAAGGTATCATTCCCGCCGTGGAGGAAGAAAAAAGTTAAGGAGGAAACATAGTACGATGAAAAAAAAATGAAAGAAAGAAGGAAAGGAAGGAAGGAAGGAAGAAGAAAGAAAGAAGAAAAGAAAGATGGAGTAGGTCAGACTCACTGATGCCGGGCTTCACTTGCCCCCCCCCCCCTTTTCCGATTATAAAAGGGCTCCTATTTTTTTTCAAATACAGTGCTAATATTATTTTCTCAGGTCTTTTCACAATGATATAATTTACCTAAGTGACAGTGACATTTGGAGTCCAAAACTGTCTTCTTGCATGTGTCTCTTACGCCGCTTGGCGAGATCGGAGAAGACTTGCGGCGCACAGGCTCCCCTGGTCGTAGATTTCCATGTGCCGTGCTGCCTGCATAGCATAAACTGGCATTAGGCACCCTAGATTCAGAAGCTTTTTAGTGACATGCTGGCTAAGGGCACGTCCACTCAAAAATTTCTTGCCGTTCTGCTAATGCTTTTTTTCTTTAGTGGAATACATTTCAGATGTTGTGATAATGCTGTCCCAAGGACAAAACGGTCTGAGAAGATACTGGCGTGTTAAACAGGTATACTGTTACTTGCTGCATAGCACTTTGCAAGGCGGATGAGCAGGGCTAGCTGTTCCTGCATTCAACATCAAACGCAGACTAAATGTTTGGATCCTGCCCTTGTTTACCGAGCTCTTATGTGTATACACGCACCATAAACTTTTTCCAGCAGAACACCTATTCTTGAGAAACCGCCATAGATACAATATTAAACTGCGTCATAGTCTTTTTTTTTTACAATTTCATTTCGCATCCGCGCGTTTTGCAAATCGATGAAAGTTGTATTATCATTCTTGGCTCAAACCACTTCGTCAATTCAAGCCGGTTACTTCAGACGTAATCTTTTCTGAGACTAGCAGCTGTGATAGTTTCAGCCTGCTAAAATGATAGCCTTAACAGGCTCACCTAAACTCACTGAAAAAGCACTGGTTTTCGCATCAAGGCACTGCAAATACTGTAGCAACATTAAACATTAAAAAAATGTGTTCACATAGTTTACCGCGGCAGACTGATTTATGACCAGGTTATGAACAACACTGTAGGTGGTATATTTGGTTTAGGACAAAACTCAACACTACTGCTTATTCATGCTGTTTTATGATAATGGTGAAATTTTCTCACTTTTTTCAGCAAGTCTGAATTGTTTACCTGTTGATAGAGGAAAGAAAATGCGCACAGGGTCCGAATCGGACTCTGACTATGATACCAAATATCATAGTCAGAGTGATTTGGTTAAAGCAGTTGGGGACACTATTCAGATGGCGCTTCGCTGCTAAAGTGCGCCCATGACCCCCCCCCCCCCCCCCCCCCTGTCACGACGTTGGCCTTACATTTAAGGCGCGTTCACACTTCGCCTCGATGAGAGCGAAAGCGGCGAAACTCTCCGGAAACAGGCTTGTTTCGCCGCCCAAGCGACCGGAAAACCACGCTGCGCTGCTAGCGCGCAAGAATAGGTCCGAGACCGATTTTCCCACCACGCGAAAGCGGACCCGGTTTCCGCTTCACAGCTTGACTAGATCGAACCACATGCTCTAACCAGCCGGACACAGATTAAACATGGCGGCAAAGGCAGCGGTGGTGGCTCGCATCGGCTCAAATCGCAAACTACCCGAGCAGCACGACGAAGCTTGACGGCCTCAAAGAGAATGCGTTCATCGAGAGCCTGGTTTGGATTACGATCGCTGAAAACTGTGAAATTAGACGGTGCAGCAGCAGAGAGTCAGCATGCCCCAACGTGCCTAGCGTTTGTGTGCAGCCAGCTGAATCCGCCACTGCCGCTGCCAGTGCGTTCGCTCTGAACATTTCTGCTGGCTTATCTTCCCAAACAACGTTTGAAAAGGTGCGAGCTGTTTCTTTTCAGTACTTTGCGTGAATGACTAGCATTCGGTTAGTGCTCAGAAAGCAGGCAAAATTGAATTAATTTTCAAAGTAGTGACGGCATCGGTGGTGTCAGGGGCAGAATGAATGTGAACATCCTCGACGCGCGCGGTCGTTGTTTCCCGGCCGCTCTATAGCGATTTTGTTTTGGCTTCACTTTCAAGTGGGAATGCACCCATATAGTGCTCTCAAAAGCTAAAACGTTACAGGTCCAATGCATTTCATTCACTTGGTTACTGTGAGCCCCGCCGTGGTGGTCTAGTGGCTAAGGTACTCGGCTGCTGATCCGAAGGTCGCAGGTTCAAATCCCGGCTGCGGCGGCTGCATTTCCGATGGAGGCGGAAATGTTGTAGGCCCGTGTGCTCAGATTTGGGTGCACGTTAAAGAACCCCAGGTGGTCGAAATTTCCGGAGCCCTCCACTACGGCGTCTCTCATAATCATATGGTGGTTTTGGGACGTTAAACCCCACATATCAATCAATCAATTACTGTGAGGTGCGACGTGACTTCTACACATTGCTGGCATTAAAACACGGCGTCGCTTGCACACCTTGCCTGATGCTCCAAATGGAAACACGTCAACGTGAAAGTGTAGGAGCACAGGTATGTGTTCTACTTTCCTTTCGTTTGCGCGTTTGCGTTGTACACATGTACATACCTTCGATCGAGAACGTTCCAGGATCTTCGTTTCTGTAATTATGAATAAGGGCAGCTGGACCAACATACCTTTATTTGTAAGTGCACATTTTGTTATTTGCCAGCAGTCATCGCTAATAAAGTGCCCAACGCGAGGATCGCAGACATCTGCTCTCATGAATGGTGTAAAACATGTATACAGCGCTTTATGCGCTTCATCGACTTCCCATTTATAATTATTATCAGCTGTTATGTTTGGATTCTCGATTGTTTGATTTGTGGGGTTTAACGTCCCAAAACCACCATTTGATTATGAGAGACGCCGTAGTGGAGGGCTCCGGAAATTTTGACCACCTGTGATTCTTTAACGTGCACCCAAATCTGAGTACACGGGCCTACAACATTTCCGTCTCCATCGGAAATGCAGCCGCCGCAGCCGGGAATCGAACCCGCGACCTGCGGGTCAACAGCCGAGTACCTTAGCCACTAGACCACCGCGGCGGGGCTATGTTTGGATTCTCTTTAAAAAATAAATTCTTGCGATACGTGAAGATGGACGCCATGATGTGGCAATGGACCTTAATTTTGACCATCAGAGATTTTGTATCAGGCCAGTTTTTCGTAAATGTGTAGCATTTTAGGGACCCAGCTTGTGGTCCATCCATCCATCTTATGCGGTGCGATTACACTCACAGTATGCTCGAGCAAGCCGTAACAAGACTAGCGATGCTCAAAATGGTTTCAATGTTCTAAAATATGCAATTACCAGAACTAATTAACCCCGAAATAATCGCAATAAGTAACGCAAAATAGCTAAAAGTGCTTCGAAAAAATGCGCCTCACTCCCATGTCAGACAAAAATTGCGCCACCACTTCGCCAAAAGCACGATAGCTTCTCCCAAGTGTGCTTTGACGTTGCTTTGTCACTACGTTTGAAGGAAGAAACAACTTGACGGAACTCGCTGCAGGCGACATGTATCTCATGTGCCATACCAAGCGGAAAGTCGATAAAGAACCACAATAAGAAGTGAGAATGTTGTGCACCGAGTTTGTGAATCTCATAACAAGATCCTACTCGTGCCCATGAAGCCCTACATGCGTACCTAAGACATTTAACACGTCGTCGTTGATGTGGTAAACGGAGCATTGCGAACTCCACAAACGGAAATTGCTGCGTGACAGTGCTACACAATTCTTCTGGTATCGCAGAAGTGGAGTTGGATTTGGTGTTTTATTGCGATGGCAAGTATATAAACACTCCCGGCTGGATAGTGCCACCGGCGTCGACGTCGTTGTCACTCACCGTCTATATATATATACGCAAGAAAAAAATATTGTGTTTTCAACATTACCAGCAAGATGGTGCAATTAGCGCCGTCGCCACATCGTAACGATGCGGCGGCGCGCGCTCTCATCTCCCACGCGTACTTTGCCCTGCGGAAAGGAGGGAGGGTGGACGCTCGCTTGCACGCCCTTATCTCGCGGTGGATCGTACGTCTTGGCTGGCCTTGTTGTTTCACCGGAACGATTCAGTTGTAGTTGCCGGGCGCAAAAAGGTCACTGCAATCGTTGCACAGTGTTCGTTTGCGAAAAGGGCGCGCTTTTTAGACACAGCGAAGTAAAGCCGAAACGCTTATTAGCGTTCATCTGTGCCTGTGAGTACGTATTGTGCCTCATTTGTGCGTTAGAAAGGGGGGACACGTTTCGATCTGCTTGCCATTTTGCGCGTGATCTTCGGATTTGTTGCTATTGCGTTCATTGCTTCGCCTTTGTGGCGAAGCTGTGACTTTTTTTATTTAACCCCATCAACATGTGGCCACCATGGCCAATATTGAACCCTAACATTAAACCCAAGCAGAACGGAACAGCACATTATAGCGAGTCCTGTTTATCTTTATGTGTGTGAGATAAATCAGGTACATACTTCTTAACAATGTCCACAGAAGCTCAAATTTCATATAAAACCCATTGCATATCTATCTCACCTGCTCTGAGGACTTCGCCGTGCAACCTGCCAGGAAAGCTCTCTTCCGACCAAGAGCAAGACTGCGGTGGGAGATCGGAGCTATCAGCATCCCAATGTGCAGGCCACCTTTCTGTGGTTGGGACACCGAGGCCTTCGTCCTGAATGAAAACGCCATCCGATGGGCTTGTCCGCACGAGAATGCCTTTGGAAGGGCCTTCGCATTCGGCCGCCGACCGCTCGAGTCCCAAGGCTTCTTTGACTTTGGACCAGTTAGGAAACCGCTTGCTCTTCATGCTCCTAGAGTCGGCGTAGTCGTCCTGTGTCCCCACAGATTTGCTTCTTTCTCGCGATCGGCAGCGTCCTCTGGAGCGAAGTACAACTTGCGTGCTGCTCTTGTGCACACCATCATCGAGCACTCCTAGTTCCTGCGTGGCAGAGCCCCCTCCTGGACTCGGGGTGCGATAGGATGCCCTGCGCTCCTCAAGGCCGTACACAGGATCTAACAGTTTCTGCATGTCATGTAGGTCCTTCATATCTTCCAAGTATTGGACGCGCCTTAGAAGTTTATGGTTCTGCTCTTTCAAATCACCAAGCTGTTCCATAAGCTTGCAAAGGTTGTCCAAGTGATCCAGGCCGACCTTGGGTTTTGTCTGCACAGACGAGATAAATGGAACAAATATCGTGTACATTCTGTCGTAGGCAGGTCATTTTGTGGAGTGAGGAAATCGCTTCCCAAAAATAATGTTACATGCTGTGGAATAAAGTGACATGCAACAGATTCATCACTCATCTGATTTGCTTCCCCGTGAGCGCATAACGTTTTATGCGTTCGCAACATTGTCCGCTGTCAACTTGAAGCTAAGCCACCTGTTTATTGCCGCTATTCAGTAACCTAAAGAGACACTAAAGAAAAACTATGACTTGGTTTAGACTGTTAAACTGCAGTTTTAGAACATTAATGCCACAAGTTTCACTGTCATGAGTTCATTGTTAGCGTAGAAAATCAAGGTTGAAGTTTCATTTAAAAATTCTGCCGAAATATCCGCGTGTGAAGTACCAAACTTCAAAATGTATTTTAGGGGTGAAGCTCCTTAAGCCGTGGGTCTGTGCATGCATGTCTCTCTTGGTACGTGACCGCCTAGTTCTATGACTCACTCAGCAGGTGCAGACAGACGGACGGATGGACGGATGGATGGATGGAAGGACGGACGGACAGACAGACAGACAGACAGACAGACAGACAGACAGACAGACAGACAGACAGACAGACAGACAGACAGACAGACAGACAGAGAGACAGACAGACAGACAGACAGACAGACAGACAGACAGACAGACAGACAGACAGACAGACAGACAGACAGACAGAAGGACGGATGTATGGATGGACAGATGATTCATGGTTTACCGATAAAACCCCCCGAAGCTTCGCCCCACTCACCCTAATTCACTTCGTGGATACGGTGTAAATTTTTTTAGTATTTTCGCAACAATGGCTCACTGAAAATTTTCGAAAAATCGTATGATATGTCTGTGGCATCCACAGATGCCAATGTGCTTCATTTTAATTGAGTGAAGGCTATGTACGACCTCGTAGACACCTTCAAAATTTCCCGCCACGGTGGTCTAGTGACTAAGGTACTCGGCTGCTGACCCGCAGGTCGCGGGATCAAATCCTGGCTGTGGCGGCAGCATTTCCGATGGAGGCGGAAATGTTGTAGGCCTGTGTATTTTGATTTGGGTGCACGTTAAAGAACCCCAGGTGGTCGAAATTTCCGGAACACCTTCAAAATTTACTGCTTCATGGTGTTTGTTGCAGAAATCTCATGGTGGCGTCTCCATCCACATTTTTTCGTACTTCTTCTCGCTTACCAAGTGCCATGTCACGGTAAAAGTGGTGTTTTCGGGATTGTGAAATTTACTGTACAAATACGCAAAAACTAATTTTGCTCTTTAGTGTGCCTTTAAATTTGTTTGAACTTAACTTGTCATACGTATACCAAATGACAAATAAAAATAGACGTTCCCTAAAATACGCCTGGGAGCATAGGTGGCGCCTCGCTATTGGCCTTGAGGACGTTGCGTGTTGCCATCTACGTTTTGGCGTGACTGACAGAATATCAGACTGTCGTCTGCACGAATCCCGCATTGCCTGAGCCTTTTCAACCGCGCGTATTTGGTGTGGGAACCGCACGTGCTTCCCTCTTGCTTGAAGTGGCATGACCTGATAATCTAGGCAAACAAACCACGACTTGGTGCCCCCGGTGGCGCCCACGTGTCTAATGGGCATACTGCAATCGTAACTTAAAGTCGGTGCAGCTGACGCCATGGAAGAAAGCAGAAGCGATGTCGAAACAGCAAAGACGCTAATACGTTCTGAAACACCTTCACCGTATAAGAATTATCAGACTGCATAAAATGAACGAGTGAACTTGTAACCACGAGGGAAACGCGCCGCCGTACAGTGATACCCCCCGCGTGTGTGGTATCCACTCACTACGAACACGTGGAAATTGTGAGCGGAGTTCATCGCCAAACATACATAGAAATGCTGGTGACATATTCGATACAAATGGCCAAGGTCTCCTCCACAACTCTCTTTCGTCCTCCAATCTGATTAACGATCATCACCGCGCTTCGTTTTTTTTTTGTTTTTTATAGTGATACGTTAACTTTTCGCTTTGGGCTTGCACTTGTCGGGAACGTAGTGATGTGAGCTTTCAGCGCCTTTGTTGCTAGCGTAAACGTGAGAAAATGTCTGTTCCCATAAGTGTGCGCATGGGGAGGAGGCTGGGATGGAAGCTGCCCAAGAAGGGAGGGGCGCAAAGTCCTGCCCCATACATTGACTTAATAAGAAGGGGGTACTGCGACAAACCTTGTCCCCTCGCCACAGAAGGGGAACCCTGCAAACGCTTATGTTTGTTTCATAGGGTGAGAAGTGTTTAAATAAAGTGCGTGTTTTTTTTTTTTTTGCAGTGCGAGTTGGTTGTTTGGTGTTCACATTGAAATTCATGCTGCACTCACAAGTAAGTATGACGACGGGCAGGAAGAAGCACACGAGGCTGGCGCTGACTCTCATCTGACATTTATTTTGAAAGGCAAGAAGAAGAAATGTTCAGGCCATAATCATAGGGATGCAAGATTAATGTAGTGGGCTAATCTCGCGGCCCTAAGTTCTATAGTCATTATGGCATAGCGTTCCTTCTTCCTTTTTGGCTTCAATAATAAACGTCAGTTGAGAATCAGCGCCTGTCTAGTGTGCTTATTCTTGTCAGTCGTCATACTAGCTCGGGAGCGCCGCACGAAATTCATCGTGTGCACCAACCAACCACCTCGCTCGGCAAACTTACCGCGCAATCTGTCGCATACGTCTCGTACTGCAACGGCGCCATCAAGCAGCACACCAACGAGCTTAAGCCGCTAGCAAGTTGCACGCAACCCAGCACTGCTTTTACAGCACCAATATCTTCAGCAGCCATAATTAAGCTTGAAACCTTGATAATTGAATGCCGGGAGCACCGCAATTTCGCCCGAGCGTCGTTTTCCATAACAAATTTACGCAGCAAGGTGAGCAGAGGAGCTGTTCTCACGGTGTTCAATTCGGGGACATGTTCCACTCGCCGGAGCGCGTTCATATACGCAAAAAAAATAAAAAAAAATATGGTGAATCGTGACGTCATGGTGCGCTTGACCACGTCGACTCACCAAACCCACCAGCCTATTCCCAGCGTAAAAAGAAACTTGGTGGATGAAATACAGAGTAACCGGACACTTAAACTTGAAAAATGTGAACGTACATACTAATGTGTTGAGATGTTTGAAGAACGACGCAGGGAAAGGGCGTCAGGCGGGCGGTCGCGTTATACTTAAGTCAAGGGCTAACGTGATCAGAAGCCATGCACGGCCTCAACGATATGTGTCTAAAAGCTGATCCCAGGGGGCAGCACTCGTTGTGGGAAACGCATTCTGTTTTTGTGTTTTGTGTCCAGAGTTGTGAAAACTGCACGACGTCAAAATGACGTTGCGGAAGATAGACTGAAACCAGGCAGCTGGCTCCGCAGCCAGTCAGGGTGGGCTGAATCGGGCATGTCTACGAATTGGACACAGCGAGAATACCTCTCCAGAAGCATCCTCTCAGTGATGTCAGAACGATCGCAGCGCTGGCTTCTCCTGTGGAGGCCTTCGCAGCCAATGGAAAGTATAGAGCGTGAGGCGGCGCTTTCAAAACGGCAGCTGCGTCGCCTCCGATTCGCACTTTTTTAGCAACTGCACGCTTGTTCTGAGCAAGCATTTACGAACGAAGAAACCACCACTTTTCGAATGTCTAGTTTTGCAGTACCTTGCAGCGTTTCTTGTCCCATTTCACCTTAAACTCACGGAGCTTACATATATTCGAGAAATGACGAAGCGAGCGTGTTCCTTATAGTCAGTGTGACTTTCGTGTTACTTTGTCAAGGGCTTATTGGCTCGGCTCACTATCTTACCAATAGAGGCGCAAGGGTGCACTAGAGCTACATGGCTCTCTTTCTAGACAAGTGTGCACTGTGTTTAACTCGGTGTGTTTAAAATATAACCAGGTTTTCTTGACGAGCATACCCGCACCATAACTAGTAGAGTAACTTACTTGGCAATAAATTGGTATTCCAGTAACAAAAGAGAGAGAGAGAAAGAAAAGTACACAGATATTTTGTTGCAGTGTTAAGATGACAAAAAAAAAAAAAAGAAGCGCGCTTCGAAATTACAAGTACCATAGAAAGCCTCACCTTTGGGCTTTTGCTGAGCTTTCTCGTCCGCTCTAAAGACTTCGACGTTGTGGGCGGCTCGGCAGGAAGCGTGAGGAGAAATTCCATGAAATCCTTTTCGCAGTCTAGCATCTGGCCTTGTTCGCAGGGCGGTATGCCGAGTAACTGCAAAGAATAATGCTTATCGTAACTGCTTTACGTTCTGCTGTCTTGATACCAAGCAACAAGTTAATGCGTTGTTTGAAAACTTGAAATTGAGTTTATTCACCACCGTAGACATCAAGTCATGACAGCAACACGAATGGTATAAGCTACTCATGTGCAGCATAACAACCCCGCCACCACATTTTTAAACGCATTTTGATGGAAAGAAGTACAATACTCACAATCATTTGCAAAGTCGCACAATAAAAGCAGAATGCAGCACGCCTAAGCAAATTTGTTAGGGACAATATGTTAAAAACACGGTAGAAAATAAAATCACTAAATGTATTACTATTCTTTATTGTAATGCCCGAAGAATTAATTAAAGGGTGCAAAGAACAGAAACCACCGCAACAAAAAGTGCACGACACGATACCTTATTCATGATAACTTATTCACGAGAGCCGCAAAACAATATTTCGTAAGTGCCTAGGGCATCAGCCAACAAGATTTAAATTTACATGCAAGTTTACTAGCTGCATGCCAACAAGAACTGAAGCAAAGTTGATAATGAAACTGTTTTACATACAGGTAATTTTCATGGCGCTAGGAATCACTTCGAAAATGAAATCGGGTATACAAGAAATATACCTCATGCGCATATTATGTATACTTCTGGTATTAACCAAGTTTTTACCAAAGAAAAAAGTACAGCACAAAAATCTAGAAAATAAGGACTTGGGAAGAACTATAAG